CGTCCATTTGACGTTGTTTCAATTTGATGAATGCGCTCATACTTTGTGCGAATGGAGTTTCTAAGCCACTCAAAATTTGCATCAGTGATTTTCATTTTTTTTTTGTTCCGCTTTTTGTTTTGTTTTGGGTTTTGATTTGGTTCATTTTCCGTTTTTTCGTTCACAATTTTATCGATAGCATGCTTTTGTTGCCGTTCTCGCAGCAAGTTTGAAAATGGCCAAATAGAATTGGTAGTTTTAGTATGTGTGTAAATATATAAAACTCGCTTGAATGTTCTTTTTTTTCTCGGGCGCTTATACATAGATCCTTTCAAATACTTGCGTTTTGTTGCGTATTGTCCAAATGTTCTGCATGTTGTGCCTCATTTTTCTAATTTTTTCAACTAGTATTAGTTTTGTATTTTGTCATGACCAGTGTGAAAACGTAAACAAAGCAAAATCGACTGAGATCATCATTAATCATCGTCGTGGTCGTCGTCGCGCCAATCGTGATAATTTAATTATGAATTTGAATTTTGCTTTCTCTATCACTTCAGTTTTCTATTATATTGAATATGGAATGCAAAAAAATTCCTTTGTAGATATGCCGTTAAGCATAATGTACGACCACCGTAGTGTTGCTTCGGTACTCATTTCATTTGAAACTTTCCTTCCACTGTCGTGCGACATACACAAGTATGCCGGACCACCGATGCTCTGCAAGGTGGACGAATATATACCATTGAAGTGAATATATATATATACTCAACTTCTGTACGACATTGTTCTAGCGAATTTTAAGGTTAAACGTGGATGAAAAACTCACTTCTCACTTTAAAGCGATGAGATTAATAATGGATATTAAATATTTAATGAAGTGAGCGTATACAAATTTTTTTTTTCTTCATCAAAATTCATATAAATGAAGGAAAAATGGGAAAAAAAAGTTTCAAGTGAAAAAGTAAGAAAAAAAACGAAATTTTATTCGTTAGTTTTGAAGCAAAATATTCGTTGACCAATAAATGTTGACAATGCTACGTTGAGACGTGCATAAGACCTTACATTTGTAGATATGCATTTTGTTCGTGTTGAATATTTGTTTTGCTTACGTTTTTCACACACAAAAAATGATCGATTTGTTGTACGATGTGCGAGGCCAAAATAAAAAAACCAAAACAACAACAATAATCTTCACATACGATTGGAGACCCACTGTTTGGAACATATTTGGCACAAATCGATCATTTGTCTCCCGCCCCTGTGATGTAAAAATATTCTCGATTTGTCAGGCTTTTTATCCGTGTCATTTTCAACCAAAATTAATTCATGAAAACCAAAGAACGATTAACGAAACATCTGCAAATAAAAACCAAATACTCACATGCAATTGCTAATTTGATCAATTAACAACCAAAAAAAAAATCGAATTCAAATCCAAGAAAAAAAAAACAAATAATAGCGAACCGAATTTGAAATTCAAATAATATGAACAATTAGACCGATTCGTTATGTTTATTATTATTGATATTATTATTTGTTCATAGTTCCAAAGTGGTTCGACTGTTCGTTCAATCAAGTGAGTGGCTGAAAAAAAATGCCGTAGAATTGAGCGTATCAATTGACGACTTGTGTCAACAAGAAACAGAAAAAATCTGCTGAAAAATTGCTGTTCACTGAATCGTAAGCAGATTCATCATCACTCGCTTGATCTCGAACATCGGCCAATTTCAACAAGAACCGAAATATAACCTACTTCACAAAATGAAATGTATAAGAAAATACACTAACGCGCACCAGTACAAAGTTCTTTCAAATTGTTTTGGTTAACATTAATTTCGTTTCCGTTCATTTTTTTCTTTATTACAAACCATTCTTTTTTCATAATTTCTCCAGAATAAATTATGAAAAAAAAACAAAATTACTATTATCTTTATTATCCTAGAAAACATATCTACTACTTTTCGCTCATATTCAATATTTTAATTCAATATAATTCCGAGCAAGTTAAATAAGTCTTTAGTTTTTCAACTACAAATCCAACAACAACCAAAGATGAAAACATTACTTCCACTCAGAAACAAAGCGAAAGTAATTAATGCCACTTCTACTTCCATTCTCGAGGGCACATAGAAGGAGAAATTTAACACACATATACACACATACAAAACACACTATGTCAAACATTTCATAAACATTTTACTTCATTGAATTGTTTTTTTATTTATCGGTTCCACAATTTTTTCTTCTTTTCATCTCTCTTGTATTCGTTTCTTTTTCATTTCGAATTTCATTTCAATTGCAAGACACACCACCAAGAATAGTTTGACTATCTCAAGAATTTTCGTTTGATTTTCAATCATTGTTTACATGGTTTTATTTATACGTTTTTTGGACGAACAAATCACCGCAGCTTTTGCATTCACCTTTAAAACTCTATATTGCAATTATTATTTGTGATCTAACACTTGGCTTAACTGAATTGAAGCTGAAGTCGGTGGTTAGTCGGTGAAGGGAATTTTGAAAAAATGTGTGTATTTTTTTTTGGTTCTGTTTGTTTTCATTTCACGAAACAAAACAAACAATTAAATGTTGTGATGAATTTTGTATTTCGTTTCGGTTTTGGTTTCAATTATTTTCATTTTAAGGTAACAGGGTAATCAATTCAATTTTTATTTTGTGTTCGACGATAACAACAGTCAGTTATGATATTATCTTTTTGTTCGATGTCAACGATGGCATCAAGGTCTATGAGCAGAACACCAATTTTTGTTTGATTTTTTCTTTGGTTCTATCTTAATTTGTTATTTTATATTGATTTTCGAGACCGTCATATTATATTGAAGCATCATTGAGTCTTATTGTGATTGGGTTCGTTAACACCATATCAAAAAAAAATATATACATACAAAAGAAAAAAAAACCAACGAAAATGTTGATGACGAAAAGATTCGAGTGCGATCGAATGAATCGCTTGGAAAATGGTTTGAATAGTTAATTTTGCGACCGAAATTTATTTTCTTGAAATACGACGAACAATTGCAAAAAGCCTCCAAACATCGAGAATCGGTTATTACCGCATTTGTATAGGAGTTTTTCGGTTATGTACAGGAAATGATTGACTGGATGTCCTACTTATCGGTGATATCAACATTGGCATTCGTTGTGTTCTTTGCTGTTGGCCCCGGATCGATACCGTGGCTGATCACCGCCGAACTGTTCTCGCAAGGACCACGACCCAGTGCAATGGCCATAGCTGTATTAGTCAATTGGATGGCAAACTTTGTCGTCGGCATTGGTTTTCCAAGTTTACAGGTAAATGAAGTAGCATCATCCATACCGGAAACCTCCACTATTTCAAAATCTCATGGAATTTTCCACTTTTTTTTAATAATTCTAATTGGATCATTTCATTTCGTTTCGCTTTGCAGAGTGCATTGGAAAACTATACGTTCTTACCGTTTAGTGTGTTTTTAGCAATATTTTGGATATTTACCTATAAAAAAGTACCCGAAACGAAAAATAAAACGTTTGAAGAGATTCTCGCAATATTTAGACATGGAAGGTATGTGATTAACATTTCCATCAAATTTAATCCACACAAAAAAAAAACAAACGAATTAAACACCCGAAAACACAATCACATCGATGAAAAATTTCCCCAATAAGTAATATTAATTGTGGCTTGATTTTTATACCACTTTTTCCCCCTTAAACTTTGTGCATTCCTCGTGAATTCCAAATGTGCAGAGGCATTCGCGACAGTAGGTTGTATGGGTAAGTGGACACTATTCCAATGGCATGTTTGAAACAGACAGAAAAAAAACTTCACCAATTTTCTTTTTATGAATTTATTTTTCATTTTGTTCTTTTTTTTCGTTCGTCCTTTCCACTCGTTTAATTACTTGCCGCTCGTTCAATAGCCCTTTTACCACAAGTTTGTTTTTGAGCTCATAGAAATCACATGCGCTACAATCAAGGATTTCAGAAAAGATTTCTTCATTAGATAAAACTAATGGAATTAAATAACAAGAAACCTTTACGCTGCCAACGCGTCTTTCTTTTCTCAATTTAATATGATAACGCATGTGAGCTGCCACCTTTTTTTCCTTCCAAAGTGTTCATTCAAAAGCATTACTGCACATTCAGTACAAATCATAATCATGAAAAGGACTTTTGTTATAACCAACAAACTAAAGTCATAGACTTTTCATTCCGACTCGTCGCTGTTTCAATTGAAATAAGAAAGCATTCCGGCTGCCACATGCAAATCTTGTGTTGATTGCGTTTTATTCAAACTTTTTATTCACAATTTCAATTAAAGCTATGACCTTTTCATGAGCTCATTCCATTGTGTTGAGTGCTCATCGTCATTGCTTTTTGTATCCATCAAACCGCTTTCATTAACATATGACTGTTCTTGTAGCGAACAACCAGAAAAAAGTTCGGTCAGTGACGATTCGACAACAACACATCAGATGACAGAATCGACGTTTCAGGGCGAAGTAACCAAATTTTAAGTTTGCTTGTCGTTGCATCGAATTTCATCAATTATGACGAGAATTTTTTCTTTTTAATTTCGATTTAAAATAAAATACACTTTTTATTTTGTACCAATTATTTGGCTTGTGTTTCATTTTATTCGATTTTGAACCATATTTTAATTTTCTTCCTCTTCATTATTTTCCATGCACATTTTTTTGATTTATATGAAGTAAATTAATTTGTCGAGACTAATAGTAGGATGAATCGCACATGTATATTAAACATGTAAGCGGGAGTTGTAAACGAATGACCGTGTCAGTCAAAGCAGAGACGATCAGTTGTGATCACATTTAGTTCAGTAGCTAGTTAAATTTGTAATACACTTGTGACATAATGGTAGCGTGTGCGAATTTTCAGGAGTATGCTAAACTGCGTCAATAGTCTGGAGCCACAGAGTATGAATTCTGGTATTGAACATGCCGCACTGATGATATCTGAGGAGAAAACCCAGCATGATTCACGTAAGCAATAAATAATTCGTTAGTTGACATTATTATTTGATTATCGTTTGTGTTTATTTTAACGAAATCCTGCCTGTGTTGTGTAAGTGATTGATCTGATAGTGTAACACTGTCCCTTGAGAGAAACATTTCCAGTTGGTTTCAATAACATTTTCGTTTAACGCTTCTAGTTTCCGTGTTCCCAGTGTAGTCCCATTTGATTGTTTTCTTTTTTTCTTGGTTTTACCATTCATTCATGATTTAAAAAAAAGAATTCCCCCGTAATTGGTTTCTTTCGAAATCCTTTTTTTCTCATTTGTTTCGTCTGCATTTATCTTTACCGTTGAAACATCAGTGTGCAACGTGCATGAAATAGCTGTGCGTGTGTGTGACATTATTGTGAATGATTTTCATCCTAATTTGAGAACCATTTTTATTTTCCGTTCTTTTAAACAATGTTTCCTTAATTTTTTTTTGTCCGAAAATGGTCCGTTTTATGTGAGAGATTTTATTTAATTAAAGGCTTTTTCTTTATTTCGTTTCCTGTTTGTATAATCCGTTATTTAACTCGACCATACAATTATAATAATCAATTCATTCATTTGTTTGATAAAATCACTTGAAAAATACGTACAAAAAAAAAATCAAAACAAAACAAAATCCTCCCAAAAATAAATGACAAACGCCGAAACGAAAACAACGTAAAGTGTTCGGGCCGTCATTGACTGGTTTTAATCCAATGGCGGACGGGGAGATGGGCCCATATCCGGTTGGTGATGGAGAATTCGGTCCATATCCGTTGTCAGACAATACAAATTTGTTAGGTCCAAGTAGTTACGGTATGTCACTTTATCGTAATTATGGATCGAGTTATGGCACAAACTATGCATCATGTAACCTTTATACGGCAAAATATAGCAATAAAAAAGCGTATGCGTCGACCTCAGCCACTGCGTCCAATCTAAATAATAATGCAGCTTATGAAACAACGTCGTGCAATCGTACACATTGCACGGCTGGAGGCTCGGCCTCAAACACTAAATGCAATACCCCAGTGCCAACGAGAAGAAGTACGAAACGAGAACGGAATAGCTTTCGGCGGCATTCAGCTCACGGTCGAATGTCCTCCCCAACACAAGGTATAACTAAGTAAACAAAACTGATCCAATCTTCACAAAACAAGAAAACCAAAACCAAAAGAAAAAAAAGAATCAAAATCAGTGAAATAAATACACGTGCTTATTCACAAATCTCACGATTGAACTGCGTACACAAAAACCAATTAGAAACCAAAACCCAATCGATCCCCCATTCCCAATTGTTCCAAAATAAAGAGAAACACCCCAACCAACCAACCACCCTCCCTGTGAAAATACCAACAAACACATTCACACAAAAACACATTCTATACACACAAACACACCACCAGTCCACCTGTGAAATAAAATTTGCTAATCACCATTATATACGAATTACGACCTATTCGTAATGTCAACGAGTGAACCATTTACCTTAACTACTAGCTAATATTGCTGCACCCACTATTGAGCGAAACACCGGCGCATTGAACGGCCAATTTGCAAAACAAGAACTGAACACTGACAAATCGTTTTGGCTTCTATTTGATACTATTTTTTGTCTCTACTTTTACCATCTCACAGTCTATTGAGGTTATTTTAGATAAAAATGCAAGCAACCAATGTGTCGCAGGCGTTGCCAAAACTGACAAAATCAAACCATTCGAACATTTATTAGAGAACAAATAGTCAAACACTTATTTTTGTGAGTGCGTGTGTACACTGTACAGTTTGATGAAAACACAATGGAATGTGTTTTATTTTTGGATCAAATCAAGACCTCTTTTACGAACTTTTCACTAGAATCGATTTTTTACATACTTCTGTAGAACTTTCACATTTGTTCGTTAGACAACAAGTACATTTTGTATGTACTACAATCACCTTTTACCCCGCATTCAGTGAACATATCTACAGTTAAGTCGCACAAACTGACAAATAACACTTTATTTTTTCTTTACGAAATTGTTCATGTGAAACGGCGCAATGACGTGCATTGAAGTTTTTTTTTTACTTTGGAAAAAATAAAAAAATTATTTGAAAATATCAAATAATTCTATTTAGCCCCGGAATATTCATCAAATGAAAACGGTATACATACAAAATAGCAATCTAAGAACTTTTTTTGTCTCAACACAATGATGATATGAATGAAAAACAAGGAAAAAAATTCCGCTTTTCAGGTATAACCATTTGATTTGATAATCTCGCATTATTTGTTCATTTCCATTTATTTCGAGTATTTTTTTTTATTAAAACCTTTTCTTCTTCAACTATGAACAGATTTCGTTTGATTTTTGAATTTTGATTTTTGATCAGACAATTTCCCAAACGGATGAAATAGACATAGGACTCTCTATTGAAAATAGAAACGCATGCTCTTACTCATATATTTCAATTCGATTTAGTTCGGTTCAGTTCATTTGCATGAAACGTATAAATATTTAACCGACTTTATTTTTGAATAGAAAATGCATCAATCAAGCTTTGTTTCTGTATATTATCTAAACCAAGATTTACTTAAAAATAATAATTCGTCTCGATTGAGAGACGGTTAGCAGATGATAATTTTGGTTTGTAACAGTGCCTAAAATAAGAACACACAACTTGTCTTCCACCTATTTTAGTGTCCAGCCCAAAATGTAAATTACATGAGCAACAACAACAAAAACGAAAAAAAAGAAGAAAATTTACCAGCCAAATTCATGCGCAGTCAATTTGCTCAAATCACTGCACACTACTTTCAAAAGCTTTTTGTTCCAACAGTTGCAACATTTGCAGCTTATTTTAGGCACTTATTTAGAAAATTCCAAAAGAAATAAACTGGTTTTTCCAGATTTTAGTTTTGGTAGATTTCATTGCATGTAAAATTGATTGGCTGATGGTGCACCACCATCAGTCGAATGATGTTTGTGTGTTTTACTGTTGTGAAATCGATTTGCGACCGAAACACATTCACAAAAGTTTTCTTTTTCCTCAAAATATTTCACCGTGTAATGTGTAGCTGGTGTATCTGTCCCCCATCACCTTCGTCAACATGTATGCCCGAACACCGGACCTTGACTGAAGAGTAAAGCTGCCGCCAGCACCGTATCACCGTTATCATCGCAATGTAATTCGAATGCCGATGTTGAGTGCTTAACGGCATCAACAACGGCCGAACCAACTGCTTTTATGAACGCTAACGACAATGATAATAATCTGGTCAATGCGAGTCGTAGTTGTAGCCGCTGCGGCAGCATAAACAGCACAAAAAGTGCAATCGTCGTCCCCTCAAATCAATTAGCCAACGAAGAAGAATTTACTGGTGCAATTAAAGTATCAACGCCATCGTTACGGTATAAGCGTTGCACGAGTAATTTAAGCGACGACGAAGAGGATCGACAGCAGTTTTGTCACAGGTAATGGATTACACAACATTGTAATTACGATGTTTGCAAATGACCCAAATTCATATTTGAAATTGTTTTTCGATTTTGCGAAACAGTGGCGAAACATTGTCGCGACGATCAAGCGTTAGTCATTTGACTCATGACGTAATGAGCAGTTTTGGTTCATATACCTCGCTTAGTTTCCGGTCAACGCCTGGAACGGCCGAGGGTACAGCAACTAAAAGTAATCGTCACTCGCCTCGGCAACATTCGCACAGCCATTATCATCACCGACACCACAATCACAATCACCACTACCATGGGCAAGGTACTTCACGCAAGCATCAAGTCTATTATCAAACGCACCACGCTCTATGCAAACGCGCTTTTTCCGGTGAATCGCATGGTAAGTGATACTTAAATCTCAAAATATTGCACCAATGGTCGAACGAAGTTAAGACATTAATCGTTGATGTGTTTTGTTCGTTTCGTTTAAGGTTCATCGGAAACACCAGCAAATAATCCAAATCGTAAGCGTGGATCGCACCGACGAAAAAGCTCAAGCTCATCGTTTGGTGGTGATTCGTTGCGTCGTCGTAAACGTATCGATACCGAAAGTAGTAGTTTACATGGGTCGGGACTATCGCTATTTGAACCGCTTCAGGTTGATGTGAGCACACCAAGCACAAACACCGTTATTTTAACTCCGTCAAAGATTACCATTGAACACAGCAACGATTACGAAGGCAATCGTGATAAGAAACCGTGTTCAAATGGACGAAATCAGGCGAAACGAAATCGTTATGTATCATCGCCCATTCAATGGTCCTATGCACATCATCAGGACGAAGTGAATGTAAACAGTGATCGTACGGATTTCATTGAAATCGTTTCGGAACCGGATGAACTGTGCCGCTCACACTCGGCCATGGGCCAAGCAAATACGAGCAAAGCGATGCATTCACGTGCAAAAAATAATGGTTACGATACACCAAAAAAGCCCAGCCAATGCGATGACTCAAATGCATTTTCCATTTGGGAACGGGCCACGGACAATGACGAACGTGAACGAACAATCATCTTCCATCATAAAAGTGATGTAGGTGATAAATGTTGCGATAACTATTGTCCGCGCAACATTGAATCGGATACGGAACTAGAAATTACCGCTGACCGCAGCTTTACACACACAAAAATGACCGAAAATGAAGAGATTAGCAGCGGTGCACAGCTGCTGAATGGCAAACAAACGTGCTGCACATCCATGTCATCGCTAGAACTATTGAATAATTCGATGCCATCGTCAAGCGTTGCCGGTGGCACCAATAATTCCACGGCACTGGCCAATTTTCAAAAGAATAATATCTCACAAACGGGATCACATCGATATTTAGACTTAACATCGGATATTCGTCGTTATTCGAAAATTACCAATTTTGAACAACAAAACGCATCAAACCTACTGCCAAACTATTTATCGCGCTCATCAAATACAAATCTTAACGAACCGCCAACCGGAACATCTTTCGAACTATTCAACATACCGTCAACATCGATGTACGATAAACCATTTGGAAGCATCAATTTAACAATGCAAAATCATTTCGAACCACAATCATCTTCAAGTGAGTCATTTTTGAACTTTTGTTTTGAGTAGCTATTGCATTAATTGTAGTTGTATGAGAGTTGTGTGCTTCATTTGCACACTTTCCCATTCGTGACATTGACACGTTGATTCTCACATTCACAGGCACTGGAACACAACGTCAACAAGCAAACAATTTTAACAGTAATAATGATAGTTATAGTTGTAGCAATGTTAGAACTGAAAATACGACATCGAACAATAATCAATTAGAAGCTTGGTCCGATGGCGATAATCAGCAAACAAATGCAGGCCAAACATCTGTTGCCGCTGCCGCTGCCGCTGCCGTCGTCGCCAATACAAATAGTTTGTCAACTGACCAAAACAGCATGAACAGTTCAAGCTATCACTTTGCTCCGCACACAACGCCACAATTGAACACAAACATAGCAATCACAAGCGCTGACACCAACCACAGTAACAATAACAATAATCTACCAATTTTATTGAACAACAATAACAATTCTAATGATATCGGCACATCTACCCGACTTCGGACGAAATTCAGCAAATTTAAAAAGTTTTTCACAAAAAACTAAAACATCAAACGATGAATTGAACAAAACCAAACAGAATGTTGACATTTTTATGCTATTTGCCAAGAGTTGAAACTAAAATTACAAAAGAAACGAAATGATAGAGACGAAATCACATTTGCTTCTAATAAAATCAACTGAAAAAAAAACGCTTTCTAACTAAATCGGATGATCAAAAAATTCAAATGCGCAAATCGCGCATTATTCGACACGGAATAAAAGCAAATAAAACTAAAAAAAAAAAAATTGTAGAAACAAACCGTTTGCAGCACATAATGTTTGTAACACTTCGTATTTAGAGAGAAAAACAAAAATCAACAACCAAAAAAAAACTTATATGGCAAACAATGAAAAACAATATACTTCATAGGAACGAACAGAAGATGAACAAATAAATCGTCGACATATGTAGTACGTACTCACGTAAGCGCACCCGAACATTTAAACAAGACCTCTTTAACTGAGAAGAAGGATACAAAACAATTTATTGACATGTCTTTCGAGTTCTTTTTTTTTTAAATCTATTATTTATTATAAGTTTATGAATGGAAGGACTGACGAAAAAATGCAACAATTTTCAGTCAGTGGTAGAAACAGAAGAATGGATATATTTTGAAGAAAGAAAACGAATAAAGAAAAACCAAGGCAGCAAGCAAAGCACGAACGCAACAATGTAATTGAACATGCAACGGAATTTTCATTTCTATACACAAGAATTGAATTGTTGCATCGAACAAAAAAATTGATGTTATTGAGTGTGTGAGAGAGAAAGAGACATGAGTATATCGCACTCGACTACGGAAAAATCTATACGAGACTCGACGATGAGTTGGTGTGTTTCTCAGTTCTCAATCCCGTACAACTTGACAACAATATTACATTGACAATTTTCGAACGGAGCGTTACCAAAAAGTAAAACAAGAAACTTATTGTACTGTATAGTATACATACCTTAATTTAATTAATCGCCAGCAATATTTAATTAGAATTAAAGTAAAACTATTGATAGAATATCATGTACTCAAGCATTCAATAAAGTGAAACCAAAAAAAAAAAATACTATCCAAAAAAAAACTTAGTTATTACTGAATTATGATAATGAAACCACGTATAGGAGATTGAGGGATGCAAACAAGAAATTTGTAGGCAAAAAATGATATAAACCAAACTAAATGAAAATGAATAATGAATTAACAAAAATGTTCAATCTCAAAGAAAAATCACACTAACTCTCTCACACACACACACATTAAGAGCAGCTAAGCAGCTTAAATGTTAGGTTATCACAATGGGACATCGAGATGGTTAGAAGTCACAAGAGAAAAGAAAAACTAACTAAACAAAATTACGCTGATAGTGTTAACGAAATTATTAGTAATAGTAGTTATGCTTACAAATCATTAGTGAAATGAAAGAAAGAAAATAAAAAAAAAAACAAAACGAGACACAGAGATAACGAGAACATAGTTCTGAATCTCTATCTATTGAATAAAAATGATGAATGTTGGTAAATGTGTATTTTACAATGTTAAATAATTTTGGATAAAAAAAAACGAACGTTGAAAACAGCAGCAGCAGCAACAACAACAACAACAGATAAAAACAAACCCAAGCGTCGGCCAATGGAAATGAATGAATGACATGTTTTCTTTTTCAAGCTCATTAAACAAAACACAGAAAAAACGCTCGCATTCACACTTTATTCATTGAGTTTTTACCCATTGCGCTGACACACACACACACACTTATATACGCGAAATGACTCGTTATTTTCACCAATTCACTCTCACTCGCTCGCTCACGCACACATACACAATTCATGCATCTGAAGCACTTGCCGTAATGGTGCTTCAGACACAATCTGTTCATTCAATTTTCAAGACGACGCATTGACGACGATGATGATTTGATTTTTCACACCCTCGTCTCCTGAAAAAAGAACAACAAAAACATGAACGAAGCGAAACGAAGAGAATTTCGTTCGTTATTTTAGTATGTTTGACATGCAATTAAAAAGCACACTGAAAAAAAAAATAAACAGAGAAGAGAATTGAACACGCACTGAATTGTGTACGGTGAGAAATTTAATCCATTTTTTGAAGCATGAAATTCGCTAAGGAAGAAACAAACCAATGTTTTTTTTAAGATCTAATGCTAATTTATGTGAACATCAAAGAAAAAAATTCTAAATATTTAATAAACGCACCAGTCATACCGGACATCTATTTAATTATGTAATTAGTACTAAAGGAAAACCAATGAATACTGATTTGTTGTAACGTTAATATGAAGAGACAGTGAAAAACTAGCGAGAAAAAAAACGAACTAGAGAAAAGCCGACAAAAAAAAACGGTTCACAATTGAAAATTGAAGGGATAAAATGCATTGATTTCGAGATGTTTTCTTTGTGTTTTCCCATAATCTGGCCGAAATCAACAGCACTTAGAGCTTAAGCTTGATTTCGCGCAGTTGCAATCTTATGCTAAATGTTACAATGCACAAGTGAACCCATTTTGTTATTGAAAGAAACATGGACAGATTTGCTGTCACAACGAACTTACACTTTCGACACACCAACTCACTGTTTTTACGTAATATCATAGAAAAGCTTCTTGGTTTTTAATTTTTCCGGTTGTCTTTGCCTGCAGTTGTTCATATAACACGAAACTACTAATGAACATGAAATATTTTGTTTTTGTCCGAAATAGAATTGAGACAAAAACACAAATCCAAAATTTACAACTAACTAAACATAATGGAAATCTTTAACGAACATAGTAAACAAACAAAAAATTAATGAATTTAATCATCACGATAACAAGATACTTTGAAGCTGCAGAAGAGAACGATGAATCGGAGAATGGAGATACCAAATAATAAGCATATTCAAACACGTGAATGTTATAATTATTTTTCACTAGCAAAACAAACGGAATTTTAAATGCACTCACATTATTGTTTTCATCTATTTTGGCATGAGTGTATTGATGAGTTTGAATCATCAGAAGAAGGAAACTACATCGATCCACTTTTTTACATTACACAAATTCATCAAGAATATGAATTCCATTTTCCTTCTTAAAACAGACAAATTTTGGGGGAAAAAACAGCAAATGCTTCTTCTGTTTCTTTGTCGATATCTAGTCCATGTGTACTTGAGTGGTTTATTATTACTACAACTGACTAACAACGGTTTCTTATCGAAAGTCTATTTAGTTCGTTTCCATGTGTTGACTGTTTTATCACGAAATCATAATTGTGATTGGCACTAAAACCGTGATCATCATTCGATCCGACTCTATTCGAGTGGCACTAAAAATGCGATTCTCAGAAACAAAAACCAAAAACCGGGCCGATCATTTTAATGTACCCAATTTTCACTGCTCAAATAGAAGCGAAATTCTTGTAGAACATAAAAAAGAAATAAAATAAATAGAAACTGATTTACTGAAAACAGCCAAAATAAACTAAAATAGTGTGTACTCTTTATGTTAAGCCCACATTGAACAAATTATATCGGTTGAATTTACATAAATTTTAAGATCGATTTGGCGACACACACACACTCACACAAATCCAATTGTTTGCTCAAATCTTTGTTTTAAATTTTGTTTTATTGCAAAGCGCTAATAACGATATATACTTAAAGAAAAATATGTGATCCAAATCGATAGAAATACATCCAGAAAACGATTATCGATTGTTTTTCTCTACTTTTTTTTTGCATCTCATCTCGACAAAAAATAAATAAAATGACTGTGTGAAGTCACAATTCATAAGGAAATGTGTGAAAAAGTCATTTTTGCCCTGCGAAAAAATTTGCATTGTTTTTCAATTGTTTCGTTTCTTCGTAGCTGACATTTGTCACAATTTATTTTCTTGCAAGCTCAATCAATGCGCAGTTACAAGTGCAGGGTAACGTGAAAAACCAACCAGGAACACACACACACACACATTTACGGTTCAATAAAAAAAACTAATGTATTGTCGACGTTTATTTTTCTATTTTTAAACCGTTTCCATTTGATTTCACGAAAAACTAAATATATAAATATATACATAGATATATCTTTCACGTTTCGGGTTTAAAACAAAGGAAGTAAGAGGACAGTGAGAAGGGAAAATGAATAAAAAAAAACTAAATAACTAAATAAACGAATCATAAACTACATTGTATATATTTATGTGTAAGGAAAATTGGAGCAATTACTAGGACAAATTGTTTGAATAATAATAATAATAATAAAAAATAATATTTGAAATAAAATTGATGAAAAAATGGTAAACTAATAAAAACTGAAAGTGTATTAAGTGGAATGAAAGTGTGTACGAACGATTGCATGAGAAAGTGTGAGAGCGTGGAGCATGTGTCTTCATAGCGATCAAAAGTTAGCATACAAATGAAATAATATAACGTAGTGATTGAAGGACAACAAAATAGAAAAAAAAACGAGAAAAAAATTAAATCCGATCAACAATTATATGAAAATTTGAAGCAAATAACACCTGATAAACCGATGAACATTTTTAAAAACCAACCTAACTGTAAAGACAAAAAAGAAAATGAAAGAAAAAAACGAATACTGCCAGTGATTAATTCAGACAACAACAATTAGTCATTTAATTTATACACATTAAAAGAAAAGAAGAAGAAAAAGAAAACAAGGAAATTCTTAATTATCATGACATCAAAATGCTGAACACATGAAAATATGACGGGATTTTTTGATAGTTGTCGAATTTTATTTGTTAATGGTGATTTGCTGTACATCCAGCTCTTCGGCTCTTGCCAAATCCGGATCGAATCCGTTTTGGTCCCAAAGCAACCAATCTCCAACGTATTCCATATTAACGGGCCGTTAATAACGGCACAGTGTTTGTGACCGTCTCAAGTCCATACCATACCCACAATATCACCAGCAGCAAATAAGAATCGAACAATTATCGGCATTTATTCTAAATGTAAATAATGAAACTAAAAAAAATAGTTTATAAATTTTAAAAATCGATAAAAGAAAATGCTAAACAAAAAATAAAGTAAATTTAAAACCATAATTTAATAATGTAGCAAAATATAGGTGAAATCATTTGAATAAAAAGAACACACACACACACAAACACACACAAAAAAAAACATATATATATATTATATGAGAATGAATGACAAGAGAAAGAGAATCGTGAAGAGAAAAAAAAATAGTAAATTTAGTTATTTGTTTCAAAATGATTGAATTATATATAGTTAATAATAGCTAAATGAAAAACAAACAAAAAATGAGCAGAAGATCCACTATCAGAAACCGAACGAACCAAGCGACAGCGATTCAGTGTGAAAAAAAAAACATTTAATATGAAGTGAAATGAATTCAAATCAAATGATAATAAACACAAAGATACCCTCAAAATTTCCGATTTGAAAACGGATTCTCAGTGCATACCTTCTTAACAAGTAATAAACGCTGCAAAATGGCCTCATTTTCAAAACAATTCTGAATCGTCAGAATCCTTCCAAATGCCCAAAATCATTAATCATTTGTCTAAATTGTGAAGTAGAAGAAAGCAAAATACTGACTAGAAATGGATAAGATCCCTTAACACACTGTTCCGTTGTGAGCTGCCGGTTCGTTCGTAATTTCGATTTTTCATCGATTTTAAATAAAAAAATGAAAGAAAGAAAGAATCAAATCAACGACTACTAAATAAATACAACAAACGACAGATTATGAGTTTAACGTAACAATGCAGCCAATTTCGTTTTTATTTTCCCCTCATTTTAATTGTTTCTTTTCATTTCGCCTAACAAATAAGACAATTTTAACATGAACTACATATTACACACCCGACACCAATAAATCGCAGCAGCATCCAAAAAAAAAAAACAACAACATGAAACAAACAATAAAAATTTATTCGATCTATATAAATAAATAATTAAATTTGATCAAAATGACACGAGCGTTTTACTTTAGTTTTTCATATTTGGTTTGAATCGCATTTTTTTTAATGTTTCGGGGCAATTATTTCCATTTCGATTGATCACACTTTCTCTTGTGAAAGTGAAAACGGGATCGTTTTTTTTACCTCGAACGGAATGAATGATTGACTCAGAAAAAAGGTGAGAATTCGTCGGTACTTTGACCTGTTTTAAGGTTTGTAAACAGTGCGACTATTAAAATTGTTTTGGATACCGTTCATCATGAAACAGAGCTTTCAACTGAAATCCAGCCATGCATTACATTGTGCTGGCAGTTTTTATGCAGTTCTTTTATTGTTATTCAGTCTTTTTTCTCTATACTGGTCATAAGCACCGAATTTATTATGCAGAATTTTTTCGCCAACAAATACTTAATAAACTTTAATTGCGCGATTGCTCTGGTGATTTAATATGGTCGCCATATTCCCATTTTTGCCGATAATATATTCATTTGGTTTTGAAAGTCGAAAACAACGGTTGAGTTGTCAGCATTTGCTATCGATTCAGATAGAAGTTCTACTTAGCCAAAGAAATTCTGCTCGAATTTTAAGTAAAAATCTATTTCTCTTCTTGAGATATTTTAAGAAAAAATCAATAAATTCAACTCAAAATCTCGGTTTATTGGATTTAACAAAGAAAAAAAATCCTCATTTGCCGAAGATGTACAGAAAATTCATCTACCTCATTGCATTTTGCACCGTAAGGAATTTTGGTTTTGAAAAACTCCTCAATGAATCGTCGTTGATATTCTTCTAAAAAAAATTTTTTAGATTTTTAGCTTCAGTTCTAAATGTTCGGTTGATGCCATTCCATTTTTTGAGTGTAAAGAACACAAGTAAGTACTGCTTATGTAAAAAATCAATGTAAAAAATCTATCACATGTGCTATAATGATTCGATGATCACCAAAAATGTTGTAATCAGAGTGCAAAATCAATGTTCCGTTGCTAATTATTCAATCCGAATTTTGTTTCAGTATACGATTGCTGCAAATTTTAAGTTTCGTGTGCAATAATACACAGCAGGGGGTACAATTTAGAGATGCATGCTATGGCTGTTTCTTGCGCTCGGTCAGTTTACCGGCTGGTCCACCGCAACTGATTGGAATAAGCCAGTGTTCAAGTATATACCTCTTCAACAGTGACTATCAAATTTGTGGTCAAGGCTTGGCGGTAAATAAACGAATCGGTTATCCATTTTGAAATCAAATAACAAAAATTCTGTTTAAGGCATCTCTCGTTGGAATCCAACCCGTAAATCCAATACAAGCGTTAACATGTGCAACTGGATATTGCGAGTATATTCGATGCATTCGCCGTATAAATGCAGCGATGCTGGTAAATATTTGGATTTTCGTTGGGAAATTAAAAGAGATCCTATAAATAAAACATCCTTTAGATAAACAGTTGCTTCACATCGAATATGGTGAATCGAGACTTTAATCGATTACAAGATCGTGTAAGTTTCTACACGAATACAACGGCTTGCATATTGGCAAGGACTCGATGCTCAGAAATAAATCCCATTACGGCCGATATTCAGCGACAAAAAGGTTCAATTTATCCGCCAGGCATAACGAATGCAGTCGGCACAGCTGGATATTATCATCATAATGCAATTCAAATTGGCCCAAATGGTGACATTAAAATCATTGGTCTTCCATCAGCCTGGGTGCTTGGCAATTCATTTTGCAATCATAACATTTCACTTGATCAGTCTCCTTACGGCAATACATGTCCAACATAACCATTTCAAGTTTTGTTAAAATATTAAATAAAAAACGATATCATATGCGCAAAACATTTTTTTTAATAAAGAAAAAGCTCTCGCACGATAGACTTCTGTTTCATTCCGATAAAATTGAATAGCCTTTTATTTGGTTGGAAGAGTTTGTTCTAAAAACCCTTTTTAATCCATGGTTGAACGGATTTACGAATTTGGCTCCAGAATTCATTTTGTGGTGTGCGTGGTCCTTCAATAGATTCTAAGCCATCGTTTTTTATGCCTATACATTGGTTGTATTTACGGGTGACTGGCTTAAATCTACCCACCGATCTAAAATAAATTTCAGGTTATTTTGACCCTCAAAGTGAAGAGAGAATATATTTGAATATTGTACCCGGTTTTCGCAAAATCTGCATAGACTTTTGGTAAAAAGTTCAGAATTTTGATTACTTGCTCATTCCTTGGAGGCGTATAAATCGAATTTAAAACACTGCGAAACACGTTTGACCTAAAAATCATTTGCACAACATATGAAAGCGATTCAAACTTGAATAAATAAATGAGCTTACAAGAAGCAATACGGGATATCCTCAGCGTGACCCATTCCTTCAAAAGGTCCAAAACCAAGGACCAGTTTGATTACATTCAGTGTCGTATTCAAATCAGTTCTAAAATTATGGAAGCAAAATTGGTAAAATTGATTCGAGCATTTTTTGTATCTGAATTTCTTTTTTACTCATAGCAAATTGTTTTTGCATGATGACGATGCAACATCATTGTTTCATAGCTCGAATGAACCAGAATTAAATGCGACATCATTTGAACGTATTGCGTAAAAGATTCGATTGTTCGAGAAATTGCACCAGAACCAAAATAAAAATTACGTATTTTATTTTGTTGAATTTCATATGCCTGAAAATGGTTGATCGTTAAGCTTGCGCTATTCAAACATTATACATTAATCAATCTCGGAATTTTTATTTCGATATTTCGGAACCGAAATAAAACCCCAGTACTGAAATTCCGTTTTTTTTCTTTCAGACCGGCCTTGAAATATCAGAATAAATGTTCGACAAATATTATTAAATTACCGTGGAATTGGTCGGTATATCTAATCCGGGGAAAATATCTAGTCCAACGTCAAAGTGGGTATTCAATGGATTAACCCAACCAAATACATTGGTCAAAAATACCAAATATTCCTATTTTATAATGAAAAATCTGCATCATAATTCTTTGATCAAAGCCATAATTCTCTGATGTGAGTTGCCGCTTACCGCGCTTGTATCACCACACATTAATTCAACGTGTATCTTGTCTTTTTTGTAAGTTTTCCGAGGTCCTTGCCATAAAAATGGTTTTATTGCTTTCTTTACATCTATTTTTGTGCAATAAAAAAAAACAACAAGCAAAATAATTTTGAACATTCCGATAAAATAGTATACACAAACCTTCAACAACTGCAGCCCAATACGAAGTGATGGAATAAGTAGGAGGTAAAAATGGAGTTTTTTTAACAAGCAAATCGATTGAGGAATTTTTAAAAAATTGCAACATTTTCGCGCCACTTGTGTTATTGCCCAATTCATTTTGATATATTCGCCTCATCATATCCAGCTGGTTATTGCCCTTGACAAATGCAAATGAACTGAATGCATTGCCGCTCATCAGTATAGCACGTTTAATATTCGATCTTGCCTTGGGATTTAGTACGAGTAAATGTGCAGAAACTCCGCCTGAAATTTTAAATTGCCAGACATTGAATGATGTCGAAGTTGAATACATTCAAAATATGTTACCGGCACTTTCTCCGAAAACTGTAATCAAATTGGGATCACCACCGAAATTCCTAATGTTTTTTTTAACCCATGTCAAAGCTAAGAGCTGGTCTTTGAATCCCATGTTCCCATTATACCCACGCTCTTCGAAGTTAAAAAAACCAAGCGGACCCAAGCGATAATTGATGGTGACCAGAATCACTTTTTGTTTGATTAAGAAATCAGGACCAAACAAAAAATCACTTCCGTCGTACTGATAGAAACCACCTCCATGGATAAATAACATCACGGCCAATTTGGCTGATTTCTTCTTTTTGCCCAGCGCTATACGGATTAATATCTGTTATTAAATGTTGTTCTATGCCACTTTCTATGTCGTTTATTACCGGGTGTGAATATATTCAGGAAAAGGCAGTCTTCACTCATTGCAAGAGACGAGGGACGTAAATTAAATGCGTAGCAAGGATTTCCATATTTCTCAGACAATGTTCGAATTCCTGGCCAGGGCTTCATTGGAACCGGTTCCTATACAATTTTAAACATCGAAAATGTATTTTTGTTTCATTTCCATTGAAAATGCGAAAAAGAGTTACCCTAAATCTTAGCTCTCCCACCGGTGGCTGTGCATATGGAATTCCCTTGTATGCGTAGTAAGTTTTGTTTTTATAAAATGTGTATTGAACAACACCTTTCAATATGCCATGTGATGTCTTGACAATCAAAGGATCACAATGAGCCACTAGCATGAAACACTGAAGAATAACCACAAACAAAATTTGTATTTCTAAAAACATTTGTTAAAATCTGCAATATTTGTAGCAATAATGACTGATTGCTTCGCAATTATTATCGCGACTGATATCGATTGTAATATACGAGCTAATTACTTTCTCTGTTCTCAATGAAGAAATCCAAGATGCGTTTGACTCTTTGTTTAGAAGACTCTTTGAACAGTTGTCGATTGTAGCACGCAATGTGAATGAAACATCTCAACGCTTTGAGTGATGCAAAGACTCATCTTATTTTAGACTTGTAATGAAGTTTTTTTTTGATGCTGTCACGGATGGCGAATTATTGCAATGGAGCCTATCCGAAGAATAATGTAAGAACGATGAATGCGCTTTCTGTTCAATTTTTTTCGCAACTTGGTTGACATTAAACGTACGATTTACATAGAGTTTTTGCCTTTACAACATTGTGATTGAGCTGTGTAACTTTTCAATAAATGTCAAAATGAAAAACTCGATAAATATTCTGCAATGTAAATGTTGCATTTTTCAGTTGATTTTATTTATTTATTGCATTTTACTCGCTAAGAAAACACTTTTCATAGCGCATGTGACACGGATAAGCGAAACTAAATGAATTTTAATGATTTTGACAGGTATAAGTAATGGTATCTAAAATTAAGTCATTCCATTCCTTGAAATATTCACAGTCGTAAGCAGCCCGGAACACTTTGACCTTTTCCTCGGCCGGTAAATTCGATGTTAAAAAGAAATTGATGGCCATTTCGGTGAGTTCTTGTTTGTGATTTTGCATGGAGAATATGAATAGCTCGAGAATATTGTCGGCGCTTAATAAATAAATGATCATGTTGAGAATGTCTTTCTCCAACTCGGGCAGTAAGTAGATTTGGCACATGTCGTACGCTTCAAGGGCAGCCTTCAATGTAGTTGTTGTGGTATAAATAGCATCATCACTTTCGGTGGTATTTCGAAGAACTGGACTGCGTAACGCTTTTCCCAATGCATGCTGTCTGATGCAATCCAAGAAATACCGAATGCCACCGATCGATTGGTTCTTCAAAAAGACCTGTTTGTTCTTTGACTCTTGGAAATCAGAGTTGAACATTCGGTTGAACACATCACTGTTTTCGGTTAAAATTATCTCGCTGAATTTAGCTGTATTTGTTTCATTACTTTCGTCCGTTTGTTCACCGCTAACAAACGAAATCAGATCCTCATCTTCTTCCCAATTCTGGGCATCACTGAAACCATCACCGCCCACAACGGTTTCAAGTTTGGAAATTCGGCTTGAATCACATTTTGCCATGGCAATGTCAAGCGTTCTGGCCAGCGCTGTGAGCCCAGTGGCTGCCTCATTTGTGAGCTTCTCATTTTTCGTTAAGATCAATTCGATTATCGTATACAGACCACCGTGTTTGATCAGAAGTGTTTGCAACACCTTTTTATCACGAATTATCATTGCCGAAATCACCGACACCTGCTTGTGCATTTCTTTATCGTTTTTCAATAAAAAATGCGCCATTTCGCCACGTCCGTAACCATTCTCAGCCGTTTCATTCAACAATTTCATCAGGCCTTCACCCACGAATTTCAACTGCCAAGAATCAACGTTTTTTTTTATTATTAGTAAAATATAGTACGATGAAATTTCGAAACGCAAATTTCGAAACACAATTCGAAAAAAATGATGACAATTAAATTCTGTCAATTCCAACTTACGTCTGAGCAAAGAGCACAGTTTCGATGCTCATTCACGGGATTTGCCATATCGTACACTTTGAAAATAAAGTTGGTTTTGAGCAACGACACAAAGTTTTTCGCCTCAATAATGTGTGACAAAACCATTGGTGCACCGTATGAATCCCAAGCTGCTTCTGGCGAATGACGTTTGTATGTAAGACGGCACGTTTTAATCAGAGTATCTAAGACTTCTGGCTTGCATAATTCGTTGATAGAAAGATGTCTCAATCGATAAGATGCGCTGCATAAAATCCTCAATACCAAATTGATTGTCTTTTTCTTCTCCGAAATGTCGGATTGGTTTGGTGATTTTCCCTTTTCTGAATTTCGAGAACAACGTGTGATTACATCTATTCCAGTGCTAAAGAGCGAAGTTCAAAACAGACACTTACTTTCTTTTGCCTCATCAGCTTCGTCGTGTTCACCCTGATCGGAAACATTCCCCTGTTCGAGTTCACACTTCGATGTCGATTGCTCATTCAAGATTCTCTGCAGGATATCGTTATTATCTTTGTCCAAGTCATCTTTTCGCTTTGCTTTCACCTTTGAGTCCGCCTCATCATCGTTTTGATCTTCGATATCGCTAACCACTGGCGAATAATCATCGATGTCATCATAAGCATCACCCACTTGATTTGCTGGCGACAAACTGCGTGGTGATCTGAAAAAAAAATGGCTCTTTTATATGGACTCAATTTAAATTATTATCGAAAAGTGAATCTTACGGGCTTGAGGAACTCGATGGGCTATTGCTGGGCGATTGATAAATCGAACCACTACTGGTTGAAGCCGTTGGCGAATCAATGTCTCGCTGTAAAAATTGAGTTCAATTAGGATTAGTAACAAAAATGAACGGTTTTGTTACAATTCTACTCAATGGTAAATCTTGACTTACAGGTATATAACGGGGAGGACTGAAATCCATTTTGATACGCTTTCGAAAGATCAATTCAATATCTTCATCGTCATCCCGTGCTCTTGCTGCTTCTCTGCCTTTCTGCTTATCCGTATTGTGAGTTTCCTTTAGATCTTTGATACTTGATTCCAAACGATTGACCAGTACATTCAATAGGCCCATATGAATCATTAAATCCATGCCCATATTATCATAACGGAAATTTTTTATACCAATCAAAATCTGAAAATGAAATAACACAAAACTATAATGTGCACACAATTCGAATTAGGTTATCGCATATTATTCTATTAATAAATAGCCTCTATTCGCTTCACATCTAAGCTAAGGCCAGCAGTACATCGATTAATTGTATCCATTTCGAATCACTTACCATTGTCAAGAGTGGGTCGTTATCTGTGTCTTTTGCCACCTGCAAAAGATGCTTGAAAGCCCCACTTTTTCGAACCTTAGCGCGATTGCATGAGTCGTCGGCAAGCAGGCATATCACACAAATGCAGTAACGTTCTTCAGCAACACTGAGTGCTTTATTCAAATCGGTGGCTGTCACTAGCTTACAAACCGTTGTCATTGCATCAGCTTCATTCAATATTTTTTGTCCACTTGATTTGGCCAAATTCGATTGGATTTTCAAGGAATGCGTACGGTATGGACTGTCACCACGTGCAAAGAATGTGATGCAACTTCCACTGTGCTGAACATGCAGGAACTGAAATAGGGTCGAGTATGAATAAGTTTTCAAAATGAAACTACAAAAACACACAGTTCCAAAGTAAATAATGAGCTCACATTATAAATGATTTGCACGCTTGAGTGTACACTGGTCACAGTTTCCAGACACTTCAGTATTTCCATCACGAGATTGTATTGCTCGGGATCGTCGGGAACATGAAATGCATCATCGTCGACTGGTCTGCTTTTTTTCAAAATTTCATGATCAAACACGCGACTGTCAATCGTTTCCATGGCTTGAATGTGTGTTTCCATGAATTCGACGCGTCCTCGTTCGTACGGATTCTCTTCGACGATAGATTTGGGTGAGGGTTTTTTCTGTTCAACAATTGTGTATTCAATCAAAATGCCAAGAATTTTTTCCACGCCATCCGATCGAACGAATTCATCGTTGAATGGCATTTCGTTCCACAGCAAACGTGTGGCTCTTACGGCCATGCCCATCGTTGCGACATCTTTGGTGTCTTCTAGCACGGAAGCAACCACCACACCAATGCCTTTGGCCAATGTGCATAATTTTTCATTGGATTCTCTGGCCAAATTACCAAGCAAACGACAAACTCGACATTGTACTTTCGGATTCGGAATGCTCTTCAGGATTGTCAACAACGGTGGCACAATCCCATTTGAAATGGCCTGTTTGCAGCACATTTTCTGTGTACAACAATTTCCCAAAATACTGAGCGCAACCTCGAGAATTTTTTCATACGGTTTGCTTAGCAAACGTACCACTGGTGAAATACCACCAGCAGCATAGAACATTTCGATGCCATGCTTATCTTTAACCAATTCCGCTCGAAGCTTAACCAAAGCCTGGAAAAAATAACAATCAAATTTTTTTTACAGCATTTTTTAAAAGAAAGAGCATTGCAACACACGCTCGTACAGCTGATTCACTTCAATTCAAATACGCGTATATCGTGTTGTCTTCGCGTACTGTAGCGTACAAGCCACTGCTCTATCCCATTTATATTATACTTGCCTTGAATATGGTGGCTTTATCGCTTGATTTTGTTGTGACTGAAATGAGATCGGCCAGTACACGTTTCTCCATGGTCGTTTTCACCTTAAACTAATTTAATTCAGACAATTAACACATGCACTATGCAAATCAATCGTACATTTTACGATTCCATTTCGAAAAAATTGTGAAATTTTAATCTCAAAATTATTTTTTTTTCATTCAAAATATATTGAAAAAGACCGAAGAAAAAAAAAACTTTAGTCGAAACGTCAAAACAACGCGTATGCACACTGACACACTGGACGATAAACGTAAAATGTCACAACTATGTGCGCGTGTGTGTATGTATGCCTTTGCTTTCACACTAACACACAAGCATACTATTTCGAATATTGTGTGAGGCGAAGGAATTATGAAATGAAAAATTAAAACGATTCCAAAATAAAAAAAGAAGAAGAGAAATAACAAGATTGATATTGAGAGCGATAAAAAGCCGAGTAATTTCAAGAATTGACCGCTTCACTTGCAATCAACATTGATTGCACGGTGCAATTAGTAATTTGTACGGCAAATGTGTTGCCTCACGTGAATAAAATGAGAATACCAACTGATATCAAGTTCCGCACCATTCAATTTCAAGAGTAAATAGACTGAAATTTCCGAAATTGAAGAGAGAGAGAGAGAGAGAGAGAGAGAGAGAGAAGAAAAAGCAGAAGAGAAAAAAACAAATGGCCAAACATAAAAAAAAACATTGATTTTGTTCCTTTTTACAGTTTTTTTTTTCTTTGTAACTATTTATTTGCTTATTTCTTTTTTTTCGATCATATTTTACTTTTGTTTATTAATCGCGTTCTAATGATTTAAACTCCACATCGTGGTTTTACATATTTTAAATATTTCCCATAATTGATCTTGACGAGCAAAAAAAAAATCAATCCTCCCAGTGTTTCATACAAGTGTTTTAAAAATATCTTTGCCGGATATTTATTTTGCCTCTTTACTATTTAATATTCAGCACATACACACACAATATTATTTGGTGATATTGACGTTGTTAGGTCACACGACGATTTTGTCTCAAATTTCGGATGGAAATCCTGAGTACAGTTGTTGGTGTTGAGCCTGCCCAATTGACTCTACATCAATAATTGTAATAAGATTTTTTTGTCCGTTTTTTATATTTTTTTTTCTTGGTTGGTCTTGGTTCACCACACCATTTTCTTTATGTCTGCTTTTCATGTGAATCCAAAGTGGTAGAACCAATTACTAATTTGGCTCTGTAATTTGAACAACATTTAAAGGAGTATGCGTGCAGTTTTTACTTTTTAAGTGTTTTCGTCATTCTTCATTTTGCATTTTTTTTTTCTTGTTTAAAATGTTTAAACTTGTTCTGCGTTGGAATACTTATTTAACGTGTGAAGGAAGAAAAATCACATTGACGAAGAATGAATGAAAAAAAAAGTTGAACGGAAACAGTGGAATCAGGAACATTTTGCCGGGCGAGTAGAAATAAAACACGAACTGCTGCTGGTAATGCATGCTGTTGGTATGATTGATTGCTACGGTTAACTAATACGGCCGTCATGTGTTATCTATTCGAATCGATTCTCATTTTATTCAGGTTTAATTTGAATTTAAACAGAAAATAACAGGCTGAATTTTTTTTTTGTTTGAACAAATATCGAATTCGTTTGTTTTTTAAAACGGTCTACATTTTGACAGTGTCTGACTCAGTGTATCCCGTTCGATTCGCCTCTGCCGATGTCCATATGCATGCGATTACTAAACGGCCGAATGATGCTGATTTAGATCTTTTCTGTATTCATTTTCTTTTTTTTTCTCTCATCTTCTTTTTGCAATTTTTTTTTCTGTTCGGATGTTTGTTAATCTGCTTTTATTGTTGGTTTTCTGTTTGTTATTCGGATGCGTATTGATTCTTTTGTTTTTGTTTTTGTTTTTGTTTTTGTTGTTGAATTAGAAAACTAATGATGAACTCCTTAGAAAGCGAAGAGCAACAAGAACGACATCATGAGACAGAAAAGACCCATGGCTTCGGACAAAGCGAATCCCAAGATGGCATAGGAGAAAAGTTGTTGTTTAAGTGATGGATTTCTGGCATAACCGATGATGAGAGATCCGAAAACTGTTCCAATACCAGCACCTAGATTTATTCACGTTTCATGTAAACGCAAAATACGGAAGAGAACAGAGAGTGAAAAAAAGAACAAAAAACGAAAAATGTGATGATTTGGCTTCGCATATACAAATTGATGTGAAGTGTGGTGGTGGGTTTGTGTGTACAAAACAAGAATTGTTGTTTGCTTGAACGACGCTATCATTTTGCATAAAAGAATTCAAATCGATTGTTTCGGATGCATTTTCGATGGTTCATGGTTATGTATTCCAAATATGAACGGGCTAGTAATAGATTAGTCTGAATTGAGTTTTGAACGAATGGTCCACGTGATGAGACCATCCATTCAACTTGCACATTGTACTAAAATTGCCGGTGACAGGAGATTTCAATGACACTAATGCCAAAAAAACGACCGAAGCCGTTCATTGACACTTGCGCCAGAATTTCTTGTCCCCCCACCTTCTAACTACAAAAGCATCCTGCTGGGATGTAAAACACAGACTTCTTAACGCGAAGCACACCTTTTCTCAGACCTTCCCGAGGCTTTATTGAGTAACTGAGTACTCGTATGTTTGCCACAGATGCAAGATTACTACTAGCCCAAAAATTATAATGGAACATCAACCAAAATCAACGTGTCATCCAATTGATTTTCATTGCTTTTAATTTTAATCATTTCAAGTATTGTCTATCCGAATTTTGATTGTGCATCGATCCAAATATCAGTGATAAGTTAATTTTTCGAGCAACAATTTTTAACATGGCTACGTACCTGAGCCAGCACAACCAACGGTAGCGGCACCAGCACCAATGAATTTGGCGGCGGAATCGATATCGCGAGTCACGGCTGTAGTTTGGAATGACCGAACTTGTGGGAGAAGGGCCACTGGGGTTGTGTTTTGAGCAGCTAATGTTTGACTTTGGCTGATGACAGCACTGCTCAATGGTCGCATGAATGAGCCGCTGAGCTATAGAGATAAAAGGAAAAAAAACACGAAAAATATCGTATCGATTAATTCACTGTGTGTGTCAGAAGGAATGAGCAAAGAATATCGTAAAAATGAATGTAAAACATTAAGAATTCAAATGGAAAATTGAAGAAAAACCTCAACTTTATATCAAGAGCATAAAATTTAACTTGACTTATGTAATGGTGTACATTAGCAACAACAACTTATCAACCATGTGAACAAAAATACACGTACAAACTCATCTTCGTGTGTTATATAACCATAAAAAAAATCTACTAGTAAGGCAAAACGTCACGATTTGAAGTTTTCTTATTCAATCATCAACACATATTTGATGTTCTCAATAAAAGCGATCCATTTATCGCTAAAATCAGAAAACTTCATCGCATCAATTGTGGTGAAAATGACAAATAAAAAACAATGAATATATGAACGAAAAGGGAAAAAAATGTGTCTACTTACAGCGGTTCTTGCAACTGGAGCGATACGTGAGGCGGTTTGTACAAACATTTTTACACTTTGTATTTTTTTTACTGCCGTGTGGTGCTCAAAGGAAACTGCAAATAAGAAGAAAACCAAAAACTGTTTACAATGCACTGAACACCGAAATCATTTAACTAAGAACTATTGGATTGGTTTTCTTTTCTTTCTCTTTCAAAATTCATCGACAACAGCGCACAAGTTGAGCAAGAAAAGGGGACAATTTTCATTTGAAACTCATTTCGGCTCTATGAAGAATCATATGAATTCAAGTTACGTAACGAGTACGTAACACTGAAAAGTTTTGTACTGTGACCGTTGAACGAAGCAAACATGAAACTTGCATTTTAATACCGATTTTGGCAATAATTTTCACTATGTCACTATTTAATGTTAACTGAATGTGGAATCAATTTATGAATTGTATGCGAAAATTGAAATGAAAAATCAGATCACAAAATCGCTCTGTCTCTCTATATGAATATGTCAAATTTTAAGATGGCGGAATCGCTTAGTTCTGAAAAGCGGCGGTCAATCAGTAAATTTGAGAAAATATTAACGAAAACACTGGAATCGCACAAAAATATTGTGGAAATATTACGGAAAAAACTTTAACGAATTGATTTACACAATTTTTTGTGGGCGATGATGTGAAAACGATGGCAAATTTTTTTGATAAAAAAAATTTTTGTTTCTTCCACACAAAATTCTTTTCTCTTACTCAATTTGATGGGAGTTGGTACGAATGGAAGAGAACGAACGCACAGCTATTCGGTGACTTACCTATGAAACAGTGGTAGAGACTATAGAATCAGTTCGCCGGCTAACCCGCTTATTTCAGCTGAACGAATGACGAGTTCGGCAATCTTGGTTTGCGTACAACGAACAGCGATTCGGATGACGGCCGAAGAATGCCGAACGCAGCCAGTAATCAATAGTAGTTTCGTTCATTTTGACAGTTCATCTTCGAAATTGCATGCAATGTTCCCGGTGCTCGGTGTCAAATGAGCAAATGAGTATTATCGTTGTTGACTGCATCGCAATGCCATTGAAATGCATTGATTTTGTGTAAACATTATTTGGTTTTACACATTTTCCCGAACATTGTATTCCAGTACGATTGCTGAAAATAATTTTTGTGCAATTGTTTTTCGAATAAATGCAATGTGAAAAACGAAATTTAAATTGGAATTGGGTTGACAGATGTCGAACGGGTGGCCCCGAACACACATTTCAGAATCGAGATGGCGCTGCATCACCTTGCAGATATTGATTTTCGAAATCCAGCAGTATTTCAGAGTGTGTGTTATATAAACCCTACTGCTTGGAGACACAATTAATACGTACGAAATAAGAAATTCATAACAAATATATTTTATCACGTTCACGTCACATGACATGACATTATCGACCGACATTAGTAACCATCATACCGAAATAGTTCCATCACACTTGTGGCTGTAAATTTGTGTTGCGTTGCATAATTGGTGGAATAGTTCTTCATTTGATCAATCGCAAGAACGGCAACAACATCAAATTTAGTGAGTGCAACTCTGGTTGAGCAAAAAAAATTTGGTTTCGTTTACCCGTAACATTTTTCTTACTCGAATTTCGGTATTATATTCCTATTGCAATTTCCAATTCATCAAATATTTACTAGTAAATTCGCATTGATTTTCACCAGCTGGCGCCACTTTATTCGTAAACCAATGTAACAAAATAAATATATATATATATATATATAGAGAGAGAGAGAGATATGTTAGCCATATAGTTGTAATAAATACGAAACAAATAAACGGGGACAAATAGAGAACATTTTCGAAATTGAAGAGACGTGAGAAAAGCAAAGCAAGCGAATCGCAGGGAATTTTTTTTAGAATCGGTACGATACATGTGTGTGCGAGCTAATGTCAATAGAACGTTTCTATCGACACAATTACATAATTGACCAAAATATCTGATTTAGCTGTGTGCGTTATGTATATAATATTACAAATTAAAGGCAGAGTCCACCAAAAAAAATAAGAAGAACCAAAAACTGAATAGTTTCCATTCTAATTCAAACGATTTGGTATTCGCAGTTGTTATTCCAATTGGAGTTTATTTTCTGCCATTGAATCGATTTCGTCCAGCGGTAAATTCAAAACGATTATTGGCATAATTGAATTAAATCAATGCATGGGCTGAATCGGATCAGAGATGTTAATTTTTGGTGTGAATGCATGTAATGATCTATGTGTCTGTGGGTGTGCATGTGTGAGTATTTGTAAAATAACATTACATAATTCCTATAGTCGTGCTCTGTCCCACTCACAAAGACACACAAACGCATACTCCAAACCAGCCAGCCTAGTGTATGTCGTATCGCATGCATGTCGTCATCGTAGCAGCACACACAAGTCAACGGTATCTTTTTGCATTTAACGTAATCGCAGTCCTCAAGCAACGGTACTCATACAGAAGCGCATTCGATTGGTTGCCACACATTTCCATTTGATTCGAATTTGATACAATGTAAAAGTGTCACAATGCAGAATTCACGATACATATATCAATCATTACATGTGTACATAGAGAGGTCGAGGCAGACTGAGATAGGGCGAGAATGAGAGAATGAGCGAGAGATAGACGATGTGGAGGAATGTTGTGTGTGAAATGCGCATACACATCGAATAGATATCTATGTATATCTATGGTGGATGCAGTTTCATACATTTGCGCATTGCAAAGAAAAATACCAATCGTTGGTATATTTACCATTTCATGGTGGTGCTAAATGTGGAGAGTCAACTCTGTGTTCGTAGGGAGTGTGCGTGTGTTGATAGATGTGTATATGTGTGTATGATTATTGACATATTGCTTTTATTTGTCCATTTGAATGGATTTTGTTTCGGTTTAGGCCATTCGGTTGTAATGCTCTTACTTTCGGATTCGATCGTAAGATGCTTATTGGAATGCGCACGAATCAAAAAATAAAAATAAAAACAAGCAATAGAAGAAAAAAAAAACGAACAACAACAATACCATTATGGGGCCAATTTGGTAATAGCTATATGGCCAATTCATCGTTGCTGTGTGTATGATTGTTCGGTTGGGCTGTTGTTGGCTTTGCCCCGTTGCCTTCTGCCGTTTTAGCTTTGCATATTGCACAAATACCAAGACATGCACTCAATCGATCTCATGATTGAGCGAGCTAACGAACGAACAAACGGCCGAATGAACGAACCGAACCATACGAACGAAATGAGTACATAACTGGCGCATAGTAAACAGCATATAACACATTAAAATATATAGTAAAATGGTTTTTCATGTAGAGCGCACTGAGAGAGTGCTTAAAGCACGATAGAAAAAAAGCAGCAGCAGCAGCACCAATTCAATTGTTGGCTAGTATACATTGGATGTGTGTTACAGTGAGCCAAAAAAAACTTGAAACACTGCTGCTGCCGTTGTTACTTCTGCCTTCTGTTGCTACTGCTGCTCTCTCGGTCTCTCTATCTCTCTGCGTGTAGTTGTACTACTATTTCAAACCAGCGAAACCAAAATATAATTCACTATCTAAAAAAAGAAAATAGAAGAAGTGGCGAACAGCACACAGTGTATTCACAAACTAAAATAAAACGCTTGAACGTAAAAATCTAGAGTAACTGTTGAAGTGGTGTATTATTTCTCTACTTGCTGTTGTGTCTTATTTTTCTGTTGATTTCTATCTTTTGTTGTTTTTGCATTTTTATTTTGTATTTCAATTCTTCTCTTGTCTTCTTTTTCTCGGTGTGTCTTTTCTCCTTCAGAGCGCGCGTATCTCCTTTGCACTTCGTTTTTGGGGTTTTCTTCGATTTGAGTATTCATTCGCATTCGCATTATCACAACCGAGAGCGACTATTCTCGTAGTTGAAACAAGAAGACGAGAGGTAGCAGCGGCCCCATCGATAAATCAGTGTGCGAGAAAGAAAAGAAGACGAGCGCAGAGGAAAAACCGAGAAAACCGAATCGCAGAGTTTTTGAGAGAGATTTTTGTTTTTTTGCACACACCATTTTGATAATCAGTTGTGTGTGAAATGGCTGTGTTTCTCATTAATATTTGTAAATTCAATGGGTGCGGAATAAAATTTGATTCATTGGGTGAACTTATCACTCACATCGAAAATATACACATCGGTAAGTTTCAATTGTCTTTTGAATTAATTTACTATCTGTATATTTTGGTTTCGGTGTTTTTCAATTTCGAATTTTATTCTGTCATTTTGCGGAACGGAGTGAGTGAGTGAGTGAGTGAGTTGGCGGGTGAGTGAAGCGAGCGGTCATCACCGAACCGTTCGGTCCGACTGAAAACACACACAGTTCGCGACAATAATAACAAATGTTCATGTTTCGAATGACGGCGATTGTTCATCACAAAAAAAAGATAATAATAATAATAATAACAGTTATAAAACAATGATTCGTATGCAATGTGTATTCACACCACCATCATTGATGTGTATCGGCTCGGTGTGTTTCAGTGCAGATTCTATTTATTTTCTGCTTCTTCGATTTTTCGTTTTCTTTGCCTTTTTCTTTTTTTGGTTTTTCAATGGTTGTTTGTGTAGTCGACTCGGTTTTGGGGTTTCATTCATTTTTTTTTGCCATTCGTCGTCGGTGATGCGACATGATGACATTAGAATTGAATATCATGCTTGCATGTGGATACGGTGTCTGTAGATCGAAATTAATGCACGTTCGAGGCATGCGAAATCAGAAAACAGAAAATTCAAACAACAGACATAAAACTTCTGTTAATCGAATTGTTTTTTAACAAGTGTTTTCACAACCCATTTTTTTTAAAGCTTCAATTAATTTGTATACATGTTTCAAGGTTTCACTTTTTTCTATGTTATTATGTTACATAAATATGTGTATCGATCGCATCTGTGCTTCTATTTGCCTTGTACATCAATTGAAATTTAATGAAAATCATCGCACATTATTATCAGTCAATTAAATTGAGAGTAAGAGACCGACTCCGATCAAAATGAGCCAAAAGAAGTGATAATGACACCGAAGATAGCCTCCAATCTGGTTGCAACTGTTTTCTTTCTGTCTTCTAAGATTTCACCTTCCTTTCGACGATGTCGTTGTCGTGGTCGCCATTGTCGCCATCGGTCATTGATGATGGTCAACGTATCCAGTGTGTGAACCCGCATCAAATCGATAGCTATTTCTACTATCATACACATATGCATACCGAAATCGGATGAATATTTAATCATGCGTGAAGAGTATTGAAATGAAGCGATACACGTCGAATCCAACTGACATTCGTTTTATGATTAAACTTAATAAGGAATCATTTATTCACTTTTACTGCACAACACAAAGTAAAATACACATTCCGAATCCAAAATGGGGGGGTTTGATATGCGAGTTGACTGAGTCGTATGCATTCATTCGCTTACCATGCGATAATCAATTCATGTGATCAGCTGACACGTTCATTTAACATTTTTTTCCGCTGGTTTTTTGGAGTTGTGAAAAAAAAAAACATGTGAAATCGTCGTTATGTCTATTGTCAAGATCCTATATATTGATATGCCTCGATATGCCGCATTGAGATAAACTTCCAATTTTCTAAAAATAATCCATAATGTACGTGAAATCAATTGGTTTTTAACCATTGTTTAGTCGAATTGTCCAAATATGTACATTCGAACTGAAGAGAAAAAACAAGCACAAAATTTCCAACTGTCCGTGTTCTTGTTGCTTATTGATTTTTCCGCTTATTTCTTACATTATTTTTTGGGTTTGTTTTGTTTTGGTGTACATATGTGCGTTGACGGAGTGCGTGAGTGAGTCCATTCCAAGTTTGGGCGACTCTCGTGCTCTATATTGCCCCGTCGATAATTCCCTCGTCCATTATATCTGACTCACATTCAGTGTGTCGTCGTCACCGTCGTCGTCGTTCTTGTTGTTTCATTCAGTTTTTTTTTATCTTCATTTCTTTTTTTACAACTGTTAAATTATCCAATTCGACCCAAATTCACCGTGTTAATTTATTGATAAGGCAGCTTACATGTGTAAACGATATTCTAAAAAAAAGCGTTCTTTCATTACATATGTTTTGTTCTCATGCCATTCGAAAATGATGCGCAAAACAGACTATGATCCGCATGTTGTTGAACAAAAGGAGCAATCACAACCGGCATGTCTTCCATTGAGCTATGTGCTAAGATTCATTACCGATGCAGCACGCAAGGAAGGTCCATTCATAAACAGTTCGTCGGGAGCCACCGATCTAAAGCGAAAACTAGCTATCAAACATCACAGTTACAGTATGTCGTCATCGAATCGAAGTACCACACCAACAGGTTTGTACAAATCATACCAAACAACTTGCATATACACAGAAACGGACGGGCGCGCGAAATCGAGTGCGACAAATGCCGCAACCACCTTAATACTTGGCAACTAAACTGACTGGCTTTTCCTGTTTTCTGCCCATCATTTTTTTCTGCTCTGCTTCTTCTTCATTCTTTTTTTCTCATTTACAGGTAGCGAAATCGATGACGAAGAAATGATAGTCTCGGAATCGGAAAATTCGAATGACTCATGGACGACCGAAGAGTTTAGTTCGGAGTTTATAATGCGATATGGCAGCAGGTTAATAATAATTTGTTGATCGTTTCTAATGCCATACAGAAATTAAAAAAAAAATGATGATGATGTCGAGTGCGTGGAATACGGTGTGCCAGAGAGCCAAATAAACCCGTAAATCCTGCGTTTATCTCGTACAAACACGAAAACAATGAGTTAAACAGTCGATTGCGTGCTGATTCAATGCTTTTGAAGAATAGTTTTCGTTTTTTTTTGTCTCCAAAATGAGAAATCTATTTTTCACCAGAATTGATTGGTGATAATGATGTTATTGTTGTTCAATCAAATCCACACCATTCTTCGACTCGCAAATAATATCTCGCATTTGAATTCGGACTCTCAATTTTTCCAATTAATTACAGACACTCTGGCACAGCGGGTAACAGTGCATCGAATGAAAAGCCATTTGCATGTCCAGTGCCTGGGTGCAAAAAGCGATACAAGAATGTTAATGGCATTAAGTATCATTCCAAGAATGGTCACAAAAAAGAGGGAAAGTAAGTAGCCAATTGTTGCATACCAATCAATCCACACACACACACACACACACACACACACACACACACACACACCCACTTAGACAAACATAAATACAAAAAACGAAAACAAAAATAACACTTAGTCAATGAAATATGCCAAATTAATTTAATTAATTTAATAATTCGATTTAGTTGAGAAAAAATTAACTGAACCAAGAAATGTAAATATTATATTTGAAAGTAAAATTTTTGTTTGCTGTGTTTTTTATTTCGTTTGGAAGTGTTATTTTCATCTGAAAAAAATAACTGAGCCAATCGACAATTAGACTTATGATTCTTTTTTTCTTTTTGCCCTGTGCGTACGCCACCTGTTCTCTACTCTTCTCTTCAATCCAACGAACAATGAATGTGACTTGAAAACGCATCTCACCCACCCACCTACACACACAAAAAAACATGAACATATGAACTTGATCCGAATTAAACCTCAATGAATAAAAACTACGATCGACAAACAACGAACCAACTTTGCCGCACCACACAAATAATGAATGCGAACAAAAAAACGAAACCGAAAACCGAACAAAAACCAAATTACGAATGCAAAGTAGAGTGAGAAAAGGATTCAAATGCTACTGTGGAAAGAGCTACAAAACATCACAAGGTCTGAAGAATCATTCGATGGTGGTACACAATACGACATCGACTGAGGCATTGAACAATAGTGTGACAAGGCCGCACAGTCCAGCATCGAATGGCGGTAATAATTTTAGTAGCCAAAGTCAGTTATCACCAAATGGTAGTACCAACGGAAGCACGCCCGTTAATACGACGACACTGTCGGCGAGCTCATCGCCAACCTTCACACAGTCCGTTCCACAAACAAATCAAATAACATTGAAAACAGCACCACCGACAACCAATCTAATAGCAGTCAATTCGCTGGCCGTGTCGAGTCCTCCAAACAACAACAACAATAACAACAACACCAGCAACAACAACAACAACAACAATAACAATAAAAACAGCCATGCACTGCTATCTACCCACAATCCAAACAAATTGGTCAAACTGAATACCGAGTGCTTCGATGGTGTGCTGGTCGGCACCAAGGCATCGGGCAAAAATTTAATCATAACGAGTACGGCAAACGGTACCAGCAGTGGTAATATCATTGTGTCTACAGCGACCGCCATACCGCCAAATGTGAATGCCGATGAAACAAATGGCAATGGCGCTAAAATCAATCTTCCTAGTCTTGTAAATTTAGGTATTTTAACTCCAGCTACATCACCAAAGCAACATACACAACTAACACCTCAAATTTCACCAAATCACACGCCCGCATCCAATACAAACAATGCGACTAATAATAATAGTAGTAATAATAATAACAACAACAACAACGAAAGCACACTCCCGCTAACGCCGATCAGTCCGTTGAACAAAACATTTAATGGCGCTGCTTCAGTAAGCATAGGCAACACAACCAGCAATAACAACAATACAACCAGTCCAAACCTCAACAATGGACACCTTGCCAGTTCAATCACCGCCGATGGCTCATTGACTGAAGATACTTAGCCTATATTAAAAACGCTACTTATGCGTAAATAATAACAAGAAGGAAAAAAAACAACAAAATCCCGTATCAAAGCTGAATACCAAACGAAACGAAATCGAAATGAGAGGAAAAATCGAGAGAATGAATGAAACAAAACAGAACAACAAAATAATTAGGATAAAACATTAAAACTATTTCCCTGTGTTCATCCTGCGCAGATGTTATATAAGTATCTGTCAAGCTTTAAGCCACGATTTAATGTGATGACTGCGGAAGAAAGCAGCAAAAATTAATCTTTTTTTTTCTCTCAAAAACTTCAACAAACAAAAACAAAAACTGACGTGAGCCGCGCGTTATGAATTTAAAAGAAGAAAACGATCGCTTACGTTCGCGTGTGAATGTTGGGATAGTGTGTAGGAAAAAGTTTTCATATCTATTTGTAATTAAATGAAGTAAAAAAAAAAACAGAATATTTGTAAATGCGATAATACACGTAGGTCCTAGAAGAAAAAACAACATACAATTGAACAAAACCAAACGAACGAACACAAATTTAAGCACAAAATGCTGCGTATGAATAAATCTAGTTTCCTTTTATTTTGAATAACTAGATAAATCTAATTTTTTTGATGCAAATTGATTGAAAGTACTAATTCTTTGGAGGTTGTAAACAAAAAGAAGAAAATCCACATTTTTATTTCTTTTTCGTCGCTACATAGTTAAAAAGGGGAAAATGTCTTTTCTTTTCTCTCGAAACAAACAAACAAAAAATCATAGCAAAAATATGTAGACTAAAATCTATTTGGATCGTAAGAAAATAGCTTCAATGTTACAAATTTCTACAAACAAACAAAAACACACATTTTGTTTCGTTTGACAAATATTTTTGTTCTAGAAAAATTTGTTTTTGCTTCGACGCAAAAGAGATAGAAAAACAAAACAGCAAACACACACACAGCAAATCGATATAGGCAAATGAACTTTCAAAGAATCATGCACTTAAAACAATTCTATTTGAATTCGAATTTGTGATTTAAGCTGTTTTAAACAGCTTAAAACCTATTTATTAATGTATCGTAGTTATTGTTGCATTGCCATTTTGGCACTCAATGATAGTTGTTTCTTGTTCGATCTTTAGTTTCATTTAATTTGAATCATGTTTTTTTTTCCTTCTCAATTTCTCTTTGTATCTCTTTTTTCCTTTCAATCTCACTCTATCTCTCAGTTGAATGAAAGAAGAAGAAGAAAATGAAAGAAACACAAACATTTGACACACTTCTTAAATGAATGCATAGATGAAGAAAAAAAAAGCTTTAAACCATTTTCCTGACTATTATAATCCACTCCGTAAATATTTTCACAAATTCAATACCAATCATTTTGTTCCAGGAGAAAGAAAGAATTCCAACATCAATCATTTCAATTTCAAAGATACTAGCGCGAATTTTTAACCATCATCGCTAAACCAAACAATTCAGTTTTTGAAATACCATAGAAAATATTTGCAAAAAAAAATGAAATATACATACAGACACACGCATTAACAACAACGTCAAATTTTGCTTAAACATTTAAAACAAAAAGAAGAAGAAGAAGAAGAAAAAACGTTAGAAGGAGATTCTTGTGGTGATTATGAGATAACATTTTTCTAGTCATTAAATTATTTAGAGAATTTTATTGAAAATATTATCTTTAAAAAAAAAACAACGTGTAAATTTGTTCAAATGATTTTGATTCATTTAAATTAAATGATGAAATTCTGAACACAATAACAGAAAAAAAATTATAAGATTAAATTAATGATAATAAATTTAAAAATAAAACAAATAATGATGAGAAAAAAAAAACAACAAAGTGAAACCAACAAAACCGACAAACGAAAATGATTAGCAAATAAACGGAAAATTTTATGCATAGTTGTTAATTGTTGCTTTGAAAGTGAAAAATGAAAATAAACTACACTATAATTGAACTGAATTATAAAAATCAAACAAAGAGAATATATTGACACACTCACACAACATGAAAACAAACATAAAAAACAATGATTCGTTTCCATATGCCATTTTTTTGTTGTCCGCCAAAAAAAAAACACAATATATATGAAAAATAAAACAACAACCGTCATTTTTACATTTAGATGTGATTTTTATCTAATTTATTTAAACCAATTCCTTGATGTTGATCATCCTCATGTTCATTATTGAAACCCTGATCAGCGTATGAATTAAAGCGGTTTTATTTAATTTTGCAACGCATATGTAAGTGGAAGATGAACGAAGACGAATCTCGTCTTTTCAATCAGGAAAAAATGATATGTTTCCCAACAAAAACAAGGTGTTAATAGATAATGTTTTGTTTCTTTGAACATCCTCCAAATAATGGAAAACCATTCAAATATTCGAACCCATCAAATGAATCAATAGCCAAAAAAAGTCAGCTTAGTCATGAATCGTTTCGCAAATTCTATGCAAATTTTTAGATTTCGCTCGATGTGTTACGTGAGCTCCATTCATTCAACTGGGCTCCGAACAGTTTAAGTAGATAGTTTTTGCCTACTGGCAAAAACTATCTACTAGTTTAAGATGCTTGTGCACGAAAGCCAAACAATGTCATCGTAGAATTGGCCGTGCCACTTGACGTGAATGTGCACTCATCCAAACGCCGTCAGACATCTTGAAATAAATGTTTTCTCTTCCTTTCATTACTTCAACACTTTTATTCCTATATTCCTCTCCATCAAATACAAACCGTTGTGAACATGCTTTATACTACCAGCACTTTACTTGTTACAAACATTAACTAATTTATAGTACATTTGATGCGGATGAAAACAAAAACAAAATAAACATATGCAAACTCATTTTTACATTTCATGCTATTGTAAATGTTGAATTATTTGATTTTATTGTTGTCATATTTCCAATACTGATAATGCACTATGTGCATCGCATGCAACCACAATTCCCATTAGAAAAAAAGAAGATGGGAATAATGTTTGTTAAATGGATAAAATTAGAAACAAAAATAAAAACCAAAAAAAAAAAAATGATCGAATCATGTTGATCGCTTCGACGTTTCATTAGCTATCGATTTCATTTTTGTTTCTCTCGTGTAGATAAAATAATAGTCCTATTAGTAAAAAAAACCGGAAGGAGATGAAAATGATCACAACAAACGATAGGATCAATGTGCATTGTGCAATCACTTATGTTGGATAGAAGTTGTATTATGTTGAACTTTTTTCCGTGTATATTTGAACAGATATATTTTATCCCTAACTGTATCTGTTTCGGAAAATCATCACCACACCAAAATGTGTCTAGCTTAGGATCTTATAAAAACACTAATTGTTTTTATTGGCTGTAATTATTGTATGTTCGATTTTATCTGAAGAAATCTTTGAGCTCGACAACAGCAACAACAACACACAGATTGGACGATTTATCCCCAATAAAATTACTTTCAAAAACAATAAGGAAAACCTAAAACAAAAATAAATGCAAACTGTCTCATTTCCAAATAATCAAATTACAATTCTATATACTCTGTCTCTGTACCATTTCTGGTGTCCATATAGTTCAAAATAAAATTTAAAAAAAAAAACAACTTGTAAATACACATTTATACGAATATAAATTAAAATCAACATTTAAGAAAAAAACTGTGTGAATTTTACTGTGACAGACATTTGTATCTTTGCTGTCTGTTGAATCACAAAAAAAAAACTAAATGAAATAAAACAAAACCAATTATTCAAAGAAAATATGCGAATTTCCCTTTTATTTGCTGAAATTTTAGGGTTTTATTCGTTTTTTTTAGGTTCTTCATCATAAACATATCTATATCACTCAATTCTGGGAGTCTTAAATCTGACTCGGTCAAAAAAATTTATTTTCTCCATGTTCAAAATTTCAAGTCATTACGGACCCTGATGCATGAATGCTATCACACCGATAGTGTGGTCGTGTATGCTCTGCTTTTTGTGAAATGGTCTCTTGTATGTGTTTGTAAAAACTGTTGAAAGCCAATATTGAGTCGATTATTATTGACACAAACCAAAACAGCGTTGTGTTTGTTGTAAAATATGCACAATGCTTGGTTGGAGCGAAGAAGTAGACACCGGCCGTAAGACAAGTAACAAAGATTAATGGGCATCGTGCATAACGGATTTAGCTGTCAGCGATAAACGTGGTTTGTGAGATGTGCCCTTAGTTAATTTTGTTTGTCGAGCGTTTTTTTATATTAAAATTAAGATAGAGAAATATTATCCGTTGTCATTTGTCAATAGTGATGGTGTTGGCTTGAGTCCAAATCATAGCATCGTAACAACATTTTAAGGGAAAACAATTCTGCACATTTAGTTTGAACAATGACAGTGATACTTGCACGTTTTTATTGGTTGGCGATTGGATTTATTTTAATCAAGGTAATCATTCTGCAACACCTCACATCCGCTTCACATCAATTTATATGGAATTTTATTTGTAGTTCGAATTTCTCAGTGGTGATATAAATGTTCAAACGATAAAACGTCAAGATGTGCGTTCATTTAGTTCAAAAAATAGCTCTGATCCCAATGCATTTTTACATGGCAATATTTATGAGAAGAAAGAAGCGACAGTTGTGCATTTGAATCACATTGCCACGACTTTGCTGGAACTAAAAAGTCATCTAACGAATCAGCAAGTGGAGTTTGTGAAACCGATTAAGCAAAAAGTCGACTATTTGAAAAACATTTTGGATGCATTCCGTTTGTTTTACTCCGGAGCCACCATTAATAAAAATGCCAATGTCATTGCAAGCAGCGTACGAATCAACCAACAAAACACCGTGGCGAGAATTCAATTAAATGCAGAGCGAATTAAAGTCACGATGGACAAATTGAAAATGACTAATTTGAATCTAAGAAGTCAAATTGATGTTGAACATCAAATTCAAAAGCGATCCATCACCGAAGCAACTCGATGGAGTGGGAATCTTTTACAAGTTAATAAACTGTCTGTGTTGGGCCGGCGAGCCGGAACAGATTACACAGTAAAACCAATCAATAAGCGAGACTCAGTGCACAGTTTACTCGGAAAATTGCAGATGAATCGTCTAATGGTCAGAAAACTGCTGAGAACGCAAAATGAAACGTTCAATGGAATGCGCACAAAACGCTCGTTGCCATCGTTGGATCATCCGAAAATTATTGCTCAAACGATTAATAACATTGATTGGAACGAATTTTTAAGCACAGTGTTCAGAAAGGGAATCAACACTGTCATATCTGGTAAGTATTTGCCTCTATTCGATCAAATTCTTACACTGCTCTTTCAATTAATTCAAAAAAATCATGTTTTTTTTCAGGAAATTTGTATTTTTCCAAGGCATTGAACGCCGTGTATCTGTTGATTGATGAAACGGCAAACGGTTCCTTCATTACGGACCTTATGACACTTTCAACTGATCAAATAGTGGAATCAAATGTGTACATCCCCGAAATAATGACGGACGGTGATGTGAACGCTCGGATTTTCAATAATATGAAATACTTTGCCAATAATGTCGCATTAATCGGACGCGATAATGCTATAGATTGTAAGTAATTTTGATAGGTTTGGACAATGCATTCAATTCGTAATTCATTTACCATTGCTTTGTGTATTACTACGTAGCTCGTATCAAAGTGTTTGTATGCAATGTTAACTCTCAACTCAAACTGTCTGATGATGAAGGTGAAAGTATGACTGAACACATCGTTGGTACACATATGGATGATTTAACTCAAATTTACAACGGAAGAGTTCGAATCAAAGGGTCGGCGAACGTCAACAACATTTACATATCACAAGATCCCAGTCAATTTGCAGAGAATCCGATCGGCGTCAGTCAGCTTCGTGTAAACGGCATTCAATTTGATTTGTTGAACATAAGCCAACAATATTGGATGAAGACAGTCAATCAGGTATTTAGAGTATTTCGAGTGATATTAATTACCTACACATGCTTTCCCACCATTTTGGTGTTCTGGTATTATTCATTAGAGATAGCCTAACACTCTCCTCTCTTAAATTTTAGGATATCAAACATGTGACTTTCAATGAGCCGATTGTAAGTTCACAAGCAACGGTCACGACTGTAAATGGCACCATGGTCAATCAATATTTCTCCGTTTTGCATGATGCAGCCAGCCTTCCGATTTTTGTCGACTTTGGATCTCCAGTCACAATCAAAGGAAATTTGTTCAGCGATCAATTGTCAGCCCCGACCACTTTGCAAAAATTGAGCAACGATTCAGTTGTACGATTGGGAGGTACACAGGTCACAATGGATTCGCCAATCATTTTCAAGGAACGGCTGTTGGTTAACCACATAGACATGCAAGTTGAGGACAGTAGCCTTGTGCGAAAATCATTGAATACCATGGATGATGGGCACGTTATTCGAAAGGGATTTAAACGTCTAACTATTTCTGGCAATATAATCATGCCAAATAACATGTCGATAGTTATTCGAAATTTCAACGAGTACAGTTCGCTTAAGACTGATCTAGAGTCAATAATAACGACATTAGATAAATCGTTAGCCCAACTCATTTCTCAGTCACCGGTGATTTTTGAGAACGTTTGCACCGCACAGACCGTGCATGTGGAAAATGCAAATTTCATCGAAACAGTCCAACGAATCAATCAAAACTATGATATCAACGGAGTATTACAGAATGTAAGCCGTGTGCGTGAGCATTGCATTCAACCACTTTTGATCGATGGCCTCGTTAGATTTGTTCAAAATCCAGAGCTCAAAAACTCACAACACGTTTCCACATTGAATGGATTGGAATTCAGTAGGTATATGGAGACGGTTATTTTGTCTCCAGTCGATCACCATGCACCGGAAACACTTCAAAAATCATTCGAAATCAGTGGTGAGAAGTCTTTTATCACTGAGTTGAATATAAAATCCGCACACACGCTGGAAATAAACAAACGGATTCAAACGAATAAATGGTTAGAAGACGCCTTTCGTAAGCAACAAGCCGAAATGCATGCACAACAAACGATCGATTCACCTGGATGGCAGTTCAATGATGTAACATCGGATAATTTTGGCATACAAAGTACAATCAACGGTATCCAAATTGTAGCCGATGGAATTGATCCAACGGCAAAGAATATTATATTTGTTGATGACAACTCATCGAAAACATTAACGATCGTGTCGGACATATCGATTTCGAATGATGCACAGATCGGCTCCAACAGTAAACTGGAAACGACTGAGCTACGGCCATGCAATGTGTTAACGTTAATCCCGAAGACCGTACATTTGATGCAACGGTATTGGAATGAAGTGCATGTGATTGGAAATGTAAAAGTCGTTGACAAACAATTGAGTACAAAGCAATGCACCACTCCGTTTTGTTACTTCCAAATGGCATTGTTATCTGGAACGGAGGAAACCATCAATACAAACATTGTATTCAATTTAATCGACAGCCATGGTAAATTTTCATTCAATCAAATCATCATGTGGTCTACGAACGAGACCACATTAATGAACAACATCAATTTGCTAGACATTTTCAACGACGCGATAACACGTACACCGGTCCTTCCATCGAATATTGGAGAAGCAAAAACGTTCATTGCACCAAAGGAGCTAATTGGAAGCGAAATCATTTTCTATGTATCAGATGCACTTTCATCCAACGAGTTTACTGTGAATTTAATCAACGATATAAATGTCAACTATTTGAACCGCACATTATACCTACAAAGCACCACAAGAGAAATGATTGTTTACACTTGGCAAAAGATCCTGTTTTTAGATGCACCGATAGTTCGAACCATTACATTGCGGAATCAATCAATCAACGGTGTCGATGTATCAACGATTTTATTTGCACATTCCAATCAAAGTGCATCGCTCGTATTCCAAAATCAAATCAACGAACTCAACACAAAGTACACGGGTACATTCATTGGTAGTGGAACCGTTTACGTATCTCTGGTGAATGGTATATCATTCGAGTATTTCATCGATAATCGATGTAAGCTGTCGAACAATCCATATGCAACAAATAAGCCACAAACCATCGAAGGATACTACACTTTTGAGAATTTGATTTTAACCGGTGAGCACGTGGCAGTGGAGCAAATCAACGATGTCCCATGTGATGAGATGGTGCTAAAGCAGTCAAAGGAAAAGCAATCGATTACCGGCGATAAGCGGATTGAGGGTGATTATTCCCAGCTGTTTATCGAAAAACCATTCCATGTGTGGAAAACCAATCGATTCGAATTTGTTGCGATTTTCGCCAAATCCATTCTTCTGGATCACAAACAATCGATCGAACGTCTTGAGCAGCAAAGTCCATACCAATTGAATGCTCAAAGAGCATACGTACGGTTATGATAAATAGAAATTTCAGTTAAATACAGATCGAAACAAAATGTGATTCCTAACGCCATCTATTATCATCGAACCGAAACGCAACCAGTTCAACTGTCATACTCATATCAAATTGTCAGTCGGAAAGAAAAAATTGTTGTCAACATTATTCATATCAATTGTTATTTAAAAGCAAATAATGTAATAAAGCAAAAATGTTACTAAATGAACAAGGTAAACGGAGAGCGTTTTAAAGAAAAGATTGAGTGTTTTTATTCGGCTAAATCCATTCTGTTCACTGTTAGTTATTTCAGGTGAACAACAATTAAAGCAATTTTCAACATTCCTCAAAAATCATCAGACTGTTTTGAACAATGTCATTTCCAAGTGTTCAATCATCGCTACGGATGAGTGCAGCAATGATGAAATGCGATTGGGCTCAATTTTAACGTGTGCCGAAAAAAATACACTGCATTTACAACCAAGCTCTTCGATTGGAATTCACTTTTCATACGCTGCCGAGCAGATTTCAACCATTGACTTAATCCAATCGGATAATAAATGTTTGAATAAAACAATAGCTGTATTCGTTGAGCTATGCATGGAAGTTCGAAAATTGTGTAAAGAAGGAAATTCTCTACTGGTCAAATGCGTTTTTGCCAATGAAGAAGTATTCGAACACATACAAAACAGTGAAAACAACTTGATCGATGATCCGAATGAGTCTTCCAAAATCGATGATATCTCGTTGTCAATCGATGTCATCAACAAATTTAGCAGCTTATTGGGCGTACTTCTACAGGCTCAACAATTCATTGAGCGTTGCTTTATCATTGTTTCCGAAATCATTAGACAGTTTACAGCGTTATTTGATGTCAATTCTAGCGGACACATCAATGTAGATCACTCATCTTTACACTTCCAAGTAAGTCGGTTCACTTATTTTGTCGATAGTATTCAGATTTTTTTTTCTCTTATTCTGAAATGTATTTATCTTCCCAGACGGTGTTCAACTATTTGGCCGAAACCATAATTTTAATCATCAAATTTGATAGCATCTTTCAAGGTAGTCAATTGCAAAATGTGTGGCCGCAATATATGAACGCTATCAAATTAGCCGAAAGCAATATCAATACATTCAACGATGTGGGTGGTTTAACAAATGCTCTGCTTAAAATTGATTATCTACTGTCGGGCCATCTTTTTCAGGTAATCGACCATAACAACAACAAAAATATAGGATATCAATATGTTTATTATTCGCGCACATTTAGAGTTTGATTGACAGTGTCTCCACTTATCAAACCAAATACGAAACATCCGCACAAGCATTTACACAGTTTAGCAATCAGTATCATTCGTACCTAAAGAATACTTTGAATGTGGTGCAAAAGAACAATGCAACCGCTCAGACTCGAAACACTTCAAATTCCATACTGTCGTTCAGCACATTCAATGCTGAGGATAGTGCATCCAGTGATACGCTGTTGGCGCTGATCGAAGATATTGCCTTGGATCCATCGAGTTTAATTGTTAAAATGAATGCAATGTGTATTGTATATCATCACTTGTTTGGAAACTTGGACCAAAAATTATTCGCTAGCATCATCGAAAGCAATGCAAAGGTATGGTCCAGACAAATATCATTTGTGTACGAAATCTTGCGCACAAATTAGATGGCAATGCACTTTTTTCGCCCTGTCTTTTGAGCAAAAACCAATTTCACATTGATTCATATCTTATTTGATTTAGTTTCCCTGTGTTCTATTGCTGGACAATGTGATTTGGTCGCCGGATTTATTTTTGAATGAGTATGGATCAACTTTACTCGCGAAAATTCGCGGTGTAAATGAAAAAATATCTGTAGTCAATGTACAACGTACTCAACAGCAATGGCTTCAAACGAAATGTCAACGGCTTTCAAAGGATATGCCACTCCACATTAATCAAGTAGGTATACATAAAGGGAAAATCAAGTCGATACTCAACATCTGTATAAAGGGCTGCAACCCAATTTGATATTCTCAAAAACACTATTCCAATCATCATTACTAGAAAATATTAATACTTTAATTTTGGATTGGATTCAACCCAGATTACAACGTGGATAATGTGCTTTCGCAACGAATTTGGCTATAGTGGCAGAAGCAAAAACCAAAACCAGCCTTTACCCAATGGTGATTTAAAATCATCCGATTTGAACAGAAAAGTTGTTTTAATTCTACAGGGCATTGATTTTATAGAAAAATTTAACAATTTAATCAAAACAATAACAAACCTACACGTGCATATCGAGTGTGCAATGACAAAACAGAGTATTCTCTCCGTTTGCAAACTCATCGAACTTATGAAATTCGTGAAACTAACGATGAAAACATATTCAACGGAAATATTCAACACGACTTTATGTTTATCGCAATATCAACTGTATCAAACACTGCACATAATAACAAATGCCAAGGTAAAATCGAATGTAATTATCGAGTATAAAACATTGATGAAATTTGTTGCCATTGTTCCATACAGAAAACTTTCCAATCGGTATCTTCATCGAATTCATCGGTCTATGATGAAAGAACGGTGGATATTTTGTCAGCATTGGAACTGTCTCAATCAGTCTTGATTGGATCCCCGAATGTGAAACGAATTTTAGTAGCGCGATTGGCTTTGACAATGGCCGATCCGAAGCAAGTGTTTCAAATGGATCAACTGAGCAAGATTTGTCGTCTGTTTGTATCCATCGAACGTCTAATCCAATTCTCTGATATTCTGCAAAACTTATCATCCGAATCGTATATGTATTGGTATGAATGACCTATATTTGAGATAAATTTTACGATTTCGCTATTAATCCGTTTTTGTTCTTCAAGTTTTCAAGATGCAATTCTGCCGGTGTATACGCGTCATATAATCGATGTGAATGAAGCTTCTGACTGTGAGAAAATTCAGGTATTTAATTTGATATGGAAGCATATGTCCGTCCATGATTTCTTCAATTTACGATTTCAATCATTTTTCCGCAGTATTTATTCGAATCGATTGCCGATGGCTACTTTGATTTAATATTAGGATCGGATATGGTTGAATTCAAATGCCCCAGCAAACTCACTAGAGATACAAGTATGATCGTGAATGAAAATTTGATTGCAAAATTATGTGGTCTCATTGAAATGCGACTACGGTTGGATGTTCATACCAGTCTTCAATTGCTACAAGTAGAAAACAATGATCCATTCGAAAATACCCCAGCAAATCAAGCAAAGCGTATTCCAATTGAGGATGTGTACAGGCTCTTAGCTTCAAAAATGATTCCATTGTTGCGTACACATTCAAAAGAACCATTTTCGAAATACTGTTACTTGAGTTTAAGGGATCACGTGAGCAAGTATTTGAGTCAAATGTTCTACAATCTAACCACGATATCAATGCATGATTGGCGAACCTATGGACAAATGCGAATTTTGGCCAAACAAAAATTTCACCTGGAATCGGTCGAAGATCATTTGCCAACGCAAACTCTGGAACAGGGACTAGACGTGTTGGAAATCATGCGAAACATTCATTTATTCGTGTCAAATTATTTGTATAATTTGAACAATCAGATTTTTATTGAGAAAAACAGTAAAAATAAGCACTTGAACACGATCAATATTCGACACATAGCCAATTCATTGCGCACGCACGGCATCGGCATTATAAATACTACCGTAAGTAGCCAGTTTTTTCTTTGAGTTTGTTCTTGTTCCTTTCTTTTCTTTTTAGAGGTTGCCTAACACAAAAATAATACGCTTTTTTCCTTTCCTATTTCAATTTCAGGTGAACTTCACATATCAATTCCTTCACAAAAAGTTCTACATTTTCTCTCAATTCCTTTACAATGAACACATTCAGTCGCGTCTAATGAAAGATTTGAAGTTATTGCGTGAAGCCAATTCAGAGAAATCAGAAGACCAACAAATGTATAGCTACGAACGAGCCAATAGCTTGAACCGCTATATCCGCCAGCTTGGTGTATCGAAAAATGGACTCAGTTCACTAGATTTATTTCGACAGTTGATAACACACATTGGTAATGACATCTTAATCTTAATCCAATGAACTGCCATTGAAATCCGTATCAATTTTTTGCGATTCAATTTCCCAAAGGTAATGCAATGGGATACATTCGAATGATGAGATCGGGTGGAATTCATGCATGTTCAACGGCAACGTTATATTTGGCAATTGATGATGAAAAGCTGGAATTCCATGGTCCAAACAGTCAGCTATCGGGTACGGCTCAAAGCTCTGTTGACAATCTTGAGAACGAAGTGAAGCATTTACATCACAATTATGCTGAAGCCACCGAATATTTTCGTGTAGGTTCCGACAATTTGAGAAGAATGCTTACGGGTTTTTGTTGATATTTTAAATATATTATTGCAGTTACTTGTGGACGCATTTTCAACTTTCTTCCAAAATGATAAAAATCCACACATGAAACTATTTTATTTGATTGTGCCAGCGCTGATCATGAACTATGTGGAATATATTGTGGCTGCCAAGGAAACCATGAACAAGAAGATAAAAGAGCTTGGCACCTGCTTTACAGACGATGGATTTGCAATGGGGTTAGCCTATGTGCTGAGACTATTAAAACAAAATGCAGACTTCAATTCATTGCACTGGTTCAAAGCAGTCCGACAAAAATTCTCGTCCGAATTGGAACAGCTGGCGAAAGCACGTGAAGAGAATACTGACACCAATCTAAAACTTCAACAAACTCTTGCCTTGAGCGAAAAACGAATCAATGTTATTCAACATGAATTTGACTTTTTTTATTGCAGTTTGAACAGTGCAAAAATATTTTTTCAATAACGAAATTATAAAATCGCAATTATTTTTTTAATAAATATATTTTATTCTTATTGTTAATTAATGGAATGACTTTTTTTTTAAATAAACCGTTTTGTTAACAGATTTAAATAGTTAATGTTTGAGATGTTTGAAAGAAAAAAACATAAATAACACTATTTCTGCAATTTTGTGTGTCTTCTTCCAAACCAACTATTCGCAAATGTGAAGGGGTGTGTACGAAACATAAACGTTAAAGGAAATGAGAGCTGGTTTTCAATCAACTATCGCAGTTTTTAAAATTTTGGGCTTAAAATGTTTGCTGACACATAAATAATTTGTAACCAGAAATGAATATATTGTGGTGGGTTACACTATAGTGACGATTGTAGTGTAATGTATGTGACGATTGATTTTTTACACTTCGAATGATTGATTCGTATGAAAAATGTATCGTTTAAATTGACGATTGCCGATCTCCTCAGACACGTTGGACACACGTCGACCATCCGAATTGCGTCGATGTTCCTCATGTGCCAATCTGTACAAAAAATGCATTTTTTTTTAAATAAACCCCAAAATTATATAATAATGTAATGTTTCAAGGTAAGACCTGCTATAACGTGGGCTAGTAGCTGACGATTGACCAATACCAGGAGCATTTGAACTACAAACAAAAAAATTGTGAATATATTAAAACCTTTCTGAAATGTTCCTAAAATGGGTGAATAAAATTAAGCAAAGCCAATTTACCCGTTCTTGGCACCAGCTTGCTCCAAAGCCGTTCGGAATTGTTGGCACCCATCTGTCATGGCACCTAACACTTCTCAGTGCACTGATCCAGCAATACGGCTGGCGAGAGTTTCAAGCCTTTCTCCGCCTCGCTGCTCTCCATGGGTGAGAATATTCTAACAAAATAAAAGAATGAGTATACAAATTTGTCATCATTTGCAATATAAACAAACTCACCATCCGTTCTTCTGCTTTGGCTTTCAATCGTGATTGAAAGCTGCGAACCTGATCTTTTTCCACATTCCAAGCAGATAAAGGGTTGAATAGCACGCGAAATCGCGACGGCATCTGAAATGAACGCATGAGAATATTCTTGACCTGCGAAAAAAAGTTCGTTCCGAAATGCCTCATACATTCGTATAGCAACAAAAGAGACTCAAGAAAAAAGTGAGCATAAAAGTGTCCCATGATTATGGGGCACTTTTATTCTCACTTTATTCATGGAACTCTTTTATGCAATACAAATGTATGAGGCGTTTTGGTTGTGCATTTTGACTTGAGGCTTTTGTATGATAATTTTGATAACAAGGAATGCGAATTTCGATGTGGCGATAGCACCAATGGATTGGGCACAATAAATACTGTATCAAAATCGAAAATAAATTTAAACTTTTTTTTGATTTACGGCTGTATTGCGACCGTCAACATGGGAAGTTTGTATGAAAACCTCGGAGTGCCGCTGGTATTGCATTGGCTTCTATGGCCAAATGTACACATGGAAATATCTCGAAAACGGCTGGGCTAATCGGCAAAACAGACCGTGATGTCACTAGATCAGCCCAAATTCCACCGGATTTGTATTCTAGGCCGTCAAACCAGCCGGGTGTTTACACTCCCTTAGGGGGAGTGCCAATGCAATACCAGCGGCGCTCCGAGGTTTTCATACAAACTTCCCTTGTTGACGGTCGCAATACAGCTGTAAATTGAAAAAAAAGTTTTTTTTCGATTTTGATACAGTATTTATTGTGCCCAATCCATTGGTGGTACCGCCACATCGAAATTCGCATTCCTTGTTATCAAAATTATCATAAAAAAGCCTCAAGTCAAAATGCACAACCAAAACGCCTCATACATTTGTATTGCATAAAAGAGTCCCATGAATAAAGTGAGAATAAAAGTGCCCCATAATCATGGGACACTTTTATGCTCACTTTTTTCTTGAGTCTCTTTTGTTGCTATACGAATGTATGAGGCATTTCGGAACGAACTTTTTTTCGCATGTCAAGAATATTCTCATGCGTTCAAATGATATAAATTATTGATTGTTATTCATTAAAAATAGAATTGAAATAGTTATTAAATGTTCAAAATGAATCTTACGTTTGCATTGATGTAGTGCGCTGCGACAACGGCAAAAGGCTCGTCCGTCCAATAATAATTGCACTGAAATTAAAGACACAATTGTTTTTCAAGTGAATTTTTCTGTGGGTCCAAATGCAAACACACTTACCTTCTTCAGCACAGTCACGACAAGCCACATGTTCACACTCGAAGAACACAAAGGTTTTGCGACGATTGTAATCCGTTGTGCATATGTGACAACGCAACCACATCAAGCCATCTGAAAATTTCGAAGAGTATGCTGCTTTGTCCGCACATATTCTCAGTCGTAGCTGAATTTTTTCGGCATAATATTAATGTTTAAACAACGAACATGTAAATTACATCGAATAGAAAAAAAAAGTAACGACAAAAACATCAAAACAACATATAAAGCAATATGCTATTGTTTTTCAACTCCAAGGTTTATTTTTTTAAATATTATGAAATAGAGCGGCCAAAATACAGAGTTGAATAGAAGAGTAATGCACAAAATAAACATGGCATGAATATTGGCAAAATAGTATGGAAAATGCCAATTTCAATAAGACTTCAGAACACTTCGTTCTTTTTTTTATTGAATTAATTTTATTTCTATGTATATATTTTTAGCACTACATGAAATGTAGAGCTACTAATCTGCTTTTTTTTTCCGTCTAGATACTTTTTGAGTGTTGAAACAAATTATGGTGAATTTGAATTTTATGCTCATATTTTTTATTTAATTTAAAACAGTGGCAGTAACGACAAATAGGTGCATAATATCTCAAAGCGCCAATCAAATTTTTATTATCAAATGTTGTTTAAAAATTACATTAATTTTTCGTATAATATTTGCTGTGTCTTGTACAGAATTAAAGTGATTTTAGATTCAATGCTCATATTTTTTATTTAATAACCAAAGGCAGTATATTTCAAAAAAGAAATAAAACCAAGATCTTGTAATTCATTTTGCAAATAAATATATTACTTCAAAGTTACTTTGATGAAATACATTTCATGTAGTGCGCCAAAAAATAGTTTGTTGTGAAACAAAAAAATATATTAAGTACCTAAAAACTCAAGAACGCAGAGCGGAGCGAAGCGAAGAATAGTTTTTAGACGGCAAATACTCCAAATGTACTCTGTGATTTGCATTATACCTTCTACGGTCTTCTTCATAAAATTGCGCATCAATTTTTCTTTCATCAAAAATGATTTGATCATCTCGTTCATTGTATTTCCAATTTAGACCATGCATATTGCCATGACCGCCACTTATCAGCAATATTTCTTCATTTTGTCCGATTGTTGTTAGTATATGTTCCATAATATCTATAACATCACGGTGGGTGATGAAGCTATCGGCGCCCCAAACAATGCGTCCTCTTTTGTTTTTTATACCGTGCCAAATATTCTTACGTTCAGATCCAAATTCATGATAGATGCAGATTGCTTTTGGTAAACTTAGAAGCGTTTCAAAGCTTGGTTGTAAATATTCTTTTGGGATGCAATCGGAAGGTTTGAAAACTTCATTTTGACCTTCGTTTGAAGTCTGATCGCCATGATATATTTCAGAATCAAGTTCAAACTTGTTACAACAGTCGGATGGTTTGAGAACTTCAGGTTCTTCTTCATTTGCCAATTCTTCGAAATAATTGTAGGTCTGATAAGTGATTATCAGTCGTTGATTTTCTGGATTTTCCTGTTCATCCATATTGTAAATATAAACCATTCACGCCTTTTTTTCGTTAATAGCAAACTTCTGGATATTTTCTTTTATTTTCACTTATTCTCTTTTTTTCGTCGATTTATCTTTCACCGTTTTACACTTCGAAATGTCACTTGTTCTCTTCTTCTATTGTAAATCGATATTTTTAAATTTTCAAATTCCTTTTCTATTTAATTCTTCCACGTACTATAGAACCCAACTCTAGATGAAGGGTAAAACGATTTTGTGGTTCACGTTTTTTTCAGATCTATAGCAAACTTCTGGATATTTTCTTTTATAGTCGCCTATACGCTTTAATTTTCGCTAATACTCTTTTAAATTCTTTGTTCAAATTTTTATTTATTTACTCTTCTGATTCGGTTTTATTTCACTTTTTTTTCGAAAATTCGCTTTTATCTGAATCTCTCTTTTTATTTTTTTTCGCGGTTTTTGTTGTGTAGATACCAACACGCTCCACTACACGGGGAACAGACTGTTCATTCCCGTTACAAATCATACCGTTGCAGTCGTTCGGCATTTATCAATCGGATTGAAATTTCATTCTGATCGAACTTAGCACGGCCCAAGGCACGATCAGTGTCTTAAAATAGAAGATTTAAAACATTGATCGCAGACCATTATTCCATGAGAAACAATGATCTCGATTTTGGCATGACTTATTCCATTTTAACTTCAAACCGTGTATTATTTAACGAAGTGTACTAGGGGCATTATGTGCCCAAAACAATGTGCATGTAAACACGGAAATATGGTGTGAGAAGTAAACAACGATTTGAAGGTAAATGGAATCAATATTGAACCAGTCGTTTTGCTTTCAGTTTATATAAGAAAAAAGAATTAAATTTGTAAAATAAAAAAACAAATCAACGACTGTTTCAATAGAGGTAACGGGGCACTGTTGCAAAGCGACCGGAAAAACCCGAAGATCATTCCGGAAGAAAATGTATGAAAGAAACATACAGTACATACTCATGATTATAACAATGAAAAATGAAGTCACGAATAAATAATCAAATTTGGAATAAAAGAAAAAAAACATTCCGACGGCTCATAAAACTTAAATAATAATTTGGTCGTTGTTTTAATGTTAATTTGGTCCACGATAAACTCCAGCAAATAAGACTTCTTCGAATTTCTCATCATGAACTATGAACACGAATGGGCGATCACAATAGAAGTGAAAAGGCATGGAAAATATACCTGCTCTAACTGAAGTCATAGCAGAAGCTTTTGAACCTGATTCATTGATTTCGATTTTTGCC